TTACATACCAGTCATTGCCTTGCAACCGTTCAAACAGAGCAGAGCATCAACGTTTACTCATCAAGTATTTGTGTTTTCTGCAGTGTCTGTCTACCCGGTTCCAGTTGCATGGTTTGATTATAGGATCTTAAGAAGCTTTGGTATCAGGTTGAATTATACAATGGCTGTAGGTAAATATTTTGATTAACCGTTGTTTTAAGCCTAACATAATCATGTCTTTATTGTTTGCCACAGCTTCGTCCCAAAAGTTCATTTCCCAGGCAACAGAATCACTGTTTGATTTGTTTAGTGGTCGTAATAAAACCCAGAACAGACTCTAAGCGAAAACAATCTTTAGAGCACTGCTTTCCTGTTGCAGTGATCTATTTATCCTTCTATCTATCTGAGAAATGAGAAAATATATAGTTTTATTGAACCAGTTATTCTTAGGGTCATGATTTACACAAGTCAGCGATTACAGGCCAAGAGATATAAAACAAAACCATATGCCAAACGGGAATGATCCAAAATTTTAGAAAAAATTCAAAACACGAAAGTGCTGGAATCTAAATGGGTACTACTTAGGGAAACAACCGTGAATAGAAAAGAACGGCCTCACAAACCTCATATATACATGTATTTGTCCTCATTATGGACAATAACAAGTCTGGGGGTTGGAGTGGAAGGACACTGTGGATAGCACCATATGAGGTATTCATTCACTTTATGAAAAAACAAAGTTATATATTGAGTAAAATTACTGACAAATTTCAGTTTTGAGCAAGTCTACATGAGATCTAGAAGTCTAGACGAAACATTCGATAGGGTTTTAAAAAGAAAAGATCTACATGTACTTACAAACAGCATGAGTATTTTTTCCATTTAAATCTATATGTCTCTTGTAGGTTGCGTGAATTCTGTTTTTTCTTCTGCAAAGACATCCCATAAAACACAAAACGTTATTAAAACGTTAGTCCAGCGTTTACATAACCAAATTACGTTATGGTAACGTTAAAAAACGTTCTGTGTTTGTTGGGATGATTCGTGCAGAAGACATTCTTTTCAAAGCCATGCCTGTGTCGAGGTCTTCAAAGTGACGAATGAAACGTATGTCAATGAATATTGCTAAATGCTACGCACCCGCATTATCTCATTGGTCTGATAGACAGATGGGTTTCGACGCTGAACTAAACAGACACACAGCGTAGGAACACGTAAAATACATAAAGACTCAGTTCCTGATAGCAAAATTGCGGGGTAAACTAATTAAATGTAACAAGGGAGTTTCCTGTACTTGCCCTTTCCCTTGATGACAGTCTCATTATATGTCACAAATGTCAATGAAACAAACGTGACTGTATCTGAGTTTGTTTTATTAGGTTACATGAAGGAAGCTTTGGATCAACGTTTCGCTGATTATAATGTTTTTATTTCCACAGATTCTTAGTAAAGCCTTTACCATAATCACCCTGAATATCAGACAGCACTGGAATTCAGCGTGCCTCCAAATACCATTTTAGAAACAATGTGATTACTATAAATTTCAGATACAACTACGACTCCGAATTTTCTTATTTGCAAAAGACCGAAACTCAATTGCGATAATAATCTGTGTGCATTCATAATTCTTTTCCCCTTTTTCAAAGAAGTTGGGAAGAAGAACAGCAACATTTAGTCTTTGGGTATCTTTCAAACATTTTATAAACGTAGATTGATAGCGCTAAAAACAATGACCAACCTTCCTTAAAAATACGTTATGTACAATGACACGATGCGCTTCATCCTTGTGCATGAAAGAATTGGTCAAATTAAACAGCATCTTATGTGATCTTGGTAAAGACATTGGTGATAAGCGCAATATAAATGCCAACTAAAACGAGCGGATGTTTGACTCAATCGGCCTTACTTTCTTTGGATTTCCCAGGCCAGTTAGTAGTCGAGGTTTTACCACCCGGCTTAGACTTTGAAAGGGTATCAGGAACGATCGTATCTTATGTTTCACTGGTTGCAATGATGTGTATCTCTTCGCCTGTCTTAATTTTGGCTGTCTCTGTCTTTGTCTTTTTACATGTCTTTCTTTCTGTAAATTTGTCCGCGGGCGCACGTGTTTGTGTTCTTCGCCAAACTGTGTATCCACCCGTCCGTTTATCGACGTTTTTAAGAAACCTGTATTACCTGTTCTTTTTGGTTTTGCTTAATTTTGGAACTTTTTCACATTCTTTGAAAGCATGCAACCACTGCAGCTAGTATGCTGGCGATCGGATTCATTGCTACCGACTGCCAAGTACCAGTATTACGTACTCGGGTTTTAAACCTCTGCTTTTAGGTTTTTAGACAATGCGGAAACAAACATTGCCATGATGTGGGATAATGCTGTAGCGTCAAAAATACATCGGGGCAAATTTGTTAATTTGAACCGATGGCGTAACAGCAGCGTTTTTGGTATGAAAATTGTAATTTATATATATATCCCTGACCTGAATAGCTATCAACGCCGTTTTTCTGTTTAATTTATCAGATTTTATAGGAAATTTTCTTGAAATGCTTACCTCAGTTTTATCGGTAAAGAGGGGAATTAATGTCCTTGTTTAATGGAACGACGTAATTATGGGCTGACACTGCTAACCAAAATTTGATACATTACTAATTATACGTAACGCTGGTACCAGACTGTAGTGCACACGCTCGTCGTTGACCAAGCCAAGATCTTATATAATTAAAGAGTTACTTCGGAAACTGATCACTATCACACACCAATTTCAGTTTGAAAATGTTCAGATGAAAAAATAAAGACATTGTTGCCAAATGCATGACTTTACAACGTGTCGAACCTCTTCACTTCTATATTTTGAGTGCTCGACGAGCAGACAACAAATACCATTTGTTATAACCCTTTTGGGGCATGATCCAACATTCTATCGCACTGTGAGGGAATTTTCTGCCACTATTTCTACCTGACCAGTTTACTAAACATTCCAAATAGCAACCAGTGACCGATCACTTATCGACCATGAAGCATCCATCTGAAAACAGAGCGATACAATTGGCTACTCTTCAAACACGGTGACGCTTGAACTACTCCTGTACAATAGAGACCACTGTGCTTCTTTCAAGCCTCCAAGGACAAGTTTCGTTGTTCCCCAAAGGAGGCACAAACCGCACAAAGAACGCCCTCCCGTGTAAAGAAGGGTTAAGCAGAATATCTGCCCAGTTTCATCAACATTAAATATTGCTATCCTACGGATAACACTAGGCCTTTCTGTTGGACAAAATATCCTGTGTACTGTTATCTTAAGGAAAGTAATTTCAGAACAAAAATATCCAAAGTTTGTGGAGCATTAACTTATTTACCCTAACCTGTGACCCACTCTTGTGTTAAGATTGTCTCCAAATAACAGTCCTTGTCACATGTTTTTATTGTCAAATCATCCTCGCTCAGGTCTTGACTCAAAAGCTTTTCCAACAGCCAAAGGCCGATCAGTAATAAAAAGAAAGTGCAAATAAGCAGTGTTTTGTCGGCTTTCTGGTTGATTTCCAAAGCCACTTTCCATTTGATAATTACATTTTGTACGAGGCAAGATTCCATTCCACCAAGATCACATAATTAAGATCACACAAAAACAAGTTGTGTCGGAATTCACGAAGAATTTAGATACCCCGTCGGTAACCTGCAGCCACAACATATGGACTGTTAAGCCGAGAACGTATTTGGTGGTAGAGATATGAGTGAAGGTGGATATTATGCTCATTCTACAGGTTTGAACGGGTATATTTGTCTGACAGAAGTCAATAGGCCAAGATGCATTGTAATGGAGAGAGACTGAGAGAAGTATAACAGTACATGAGGATGACCTATTAATCATCTTTTAAGTAAATTACAGAGATGCCTCAAGATGCTTTATATTAGCACTGCGTTTTCGAGCTATGGTGCCAGATGTATTTTACGAAAGTAGTTTAGTCGAAAATTCAATGCAAATCGAAATCAAATGCCTTGAAATCGAATAAAGTGAAATTGTACAAATTTGTTGTAGGGAAATTGAAAAAATCTCAAGTTTGTTAATATAAAGTTTTCGCCTTATGTATTTTGGCTTTTTGCAAATCCTGCTATAAATCTTATGAAAAGCAGTGTTCATGTTTGTCATAAACTACCTCAATCAAATTCCCTATAGCCCTGAAATTATGCTGCCGATGATTAATATATAAATAAATCAGAACATGCACAATTTACTTTAACCGCTGATCACTTTGCGCTTTCCTGGAACTATTGCACAAAATGAACAAGAATTGATGGGCAATAAGTGCGTTAATTCAGTTAAGTCTTCGTCATATCTTTTGGGTCTCCAACCTGATTATTAGCTAAACAGGATCATACAACGTGGAGATGAAACTAGAAATGACATCAGACGAAGAAACAATTGAATAAAATCGAAAAAAAGGGAAAGGGCCGTGGGAAAAATTAATTGTGCAGTTACACACCACTTTGTAGGTTAAGCATTACACTTTTACACAGAGGGAAAAAAACCTTTTTTTTATTATTTATTTATTTATTTATTTATTTATTTATTTTTGACAACTGTCATCTTTAAAGTTTCTAATATTTGAGAAACTGTTGAATTTTTGTCGCAACACTGCAGCTGGACCAAAAACGGATTTATTAATTCATAGATTTCATTCCTTATGGTTGTGGATAGGTATACCGAATTGTTATATATATAATATATATATTTGACGACCAATGACCCTAAACCATAAGCCTTTTATGAGCTTGTTTTTATGACACGTTTGTCCACACACTTAATGATGTGTTGATAAACCTCCCGGTATCCTAAGACTTCAGGTTTATTAGAAACCATCGCTCTTTTTTTTTTCAGCTTCCCCATAATCCGTTTACATAACGATCTATCTGTACAGTCAATAATGATTTATGTTTCCCAGCGACAAAGTACCTTTACGGTGCCACAGAACAAACAACCCCATCAATAGTCGAATAGGAAAGAGGTGCGTATATCTAGGAACTATTCACCGAGTTCGCCTACGTCATGCAGTGGGATGAATATATGTACTCCAGCTCATCGCTTGAATTCTTTAGCGCATACGTTTACGCGACTTACAACATGGGGGCTCCTGTCGGAATCGATCACAGGTTGGGCGCGTGAAGTATTGGACATTGGGGAAAATCTTCCGAATATGAGCGTATGCAGCTTACAGACTGGGAATGGTATTCAAAGGTACGTTTTCTTTTCACAAAATGTCATATTGCTTTATCATTAGAAGCATTTTAAGACGTCTTTTTTTAATGTCAGTCGTGATAAGAAGATGCAAACGTACAGGTACGTACATTTTTAAGAATTCAACTACAAGCGTTAGAAACATATTTAAAGAGATTTATCTGCTTGACTATTGTGGGATTATTGCGAATGTAATATTCGAAAATATAACTGGAAGAAACCTAGGACGACGTGAAAACCTCTCTGAATTCTGTCGCAACAGTTGTTTTAGCAATATCTATCTATCTATCTATCTATCTATCTATATATATATATATATATATATATATATATATATATATATATCCGTACTCGTTCCTGAATTAGACGGTAGAATCAGCTTGGCATATAAGCTTGACCTGTGCTTCCGTAGCCTGCTCCCATTATTCCCACGAGTAAGATAAAAATCGGCTGGGATGGCTTTAACATATTTCAGACATCGTTGGTTTTACTGTTATTTCCGCCTTTACATGATGTATGTCTTTTCTGCGCAGTTAATGACATTACTATCAACGAAGTTCTACCTTCATAAATACTAGTAACGCGGAACAGAAACAAACACCGCTTTAACGACCAACTTTCAATAAGATCGAACCTGAAAAATTTGAAGTTGTAAATCAAAGTACCTTCCCAAGCACCAAAAATCGGCTAACACAATGTTATCAAACGGTTGTATTTTTTGTGCAAGTTTTAAAAAAAACAAAAATACAGGAACGATGTCCTGTACAAGCCTGCCATATAGCAATAATCCAAATACAATTTCCATAAGCAAAAAAAAAAAAAAAAAAAAAAAAAAAAAAATTAATGGTACTGCTCCGTCTAACCCACAGAGACTTGTTTGCGCTTAGAGGGATGGAAAAGTGATTTGTCATTAACCAAAGTGGAACAGGTGTAGGCATTAGTCTTATAGCCATTAGGCTTAATTGGTATAAATATATTATTATTAAAGCACTTGTTTTCGTGTTCTGAAGATATCAGTAAGCATTGGTCTATGTAGCCATTCCATACTACAATCGATTACTAAGTTTACTGTTTATGAATTATTAGAAAACTGAAGTTTATACGTGGTAAAGCCCTTTAATCATATTCCACTGTTGAAGAGGATGAATGTGAGACAGTTTCAACGAATTGTTTTAAACAGTTACAGAGCATTGGAAAATACACTGTACTCTCTTTGACTTTATTGCACAAATTCTGTCGACCTCGTCCTCATCTGTCATTCTGTCAGCTTTTTTCCAATCTAATCTTTTCACCCTGGAAAGTAAGTCTATACAAATCTCTCATGTTTTTGAAGTGAAAGCACGATGACATGTTGTGCATATTCTCCAACGGAACTTTAGACTCTTTACAAACTTACACTAAGGTACCTCAGAATGTTTTATCATTACTTCGAGAGCCACGCGCGCTCTTAATTACTAATTAATTTCTCTTCTTTTGTGACACGGTAATGGTGTGTGTGTGTGTGTGTGTGTGTGTGTGTGAGAGAGAGAGAGAGAGAGAGAGAGAGAGAGAGACTTCCACATGAACTATACATTCGACAAATACATCACATTTTAGTCTTATATACAGTATTTGTTCATCCAAAGAGTGTAAAACTGAACGCCTAACTAAATTTACGGTCTTCTAATTCTTCCTGAGTTATCCTGGGAGGCAACGAGTATTATGAATTATTCATATTACCATTTGTGTTACCTGTAAGTATAGTGCCGCCTATATGGATAAATGGCTCATTGATGATTTGTGTTGATAACAGCATTAATTTTCAGAACGCAGTGTGCAACGTTGCAGCAAAAAATGTCGGTATAAATTCTGAAAGAAAAAAAAAAGAAGAAAACATGAAAAAAGGAAATACGCAGCTTACTGTCTGGCAGATACAAAATCAATCTAAATACGATAAGACACTCCACTTGAATAAACCAATTTTGCAGTTAACAGAGTGCAATTCAAATATGATGTCCGAGTTCTATCGACTTTACAAAGGGCTTGACACTCAAGAGAATACATATCAGCGGTAGTGTAAAACCGTGCCTCTCCCCTAGACATTTGTCCAGATTTTATTATCCGTCACAAGGTTACACTTAATCGAACCAAGGAAGAATCTACTTTCTTGATTGAGTCACTTCGATATGACCTTTGGCACCAATTAAATTCATATTCGAACTCCCTGGACAGCCGATGCAATATTTCGCACCTAATAATTAGGCCTTCCATAAATTATTCACTTTTGCCATTTGCGTTTTAAATATAGGACTGGGTTCCCATGCCTAGATCGATCTAACAGGATCGATCCATCTCCAAGGGGTTTCTTGCTAAATTGTTTTCAGCTAAAGCGGCTTAGATGTCTGACACGCCTACTGAAGCTGCTAAACGATACTTAAATACCCCCTAGCAGCTTCAGTAGGCATGACAGACATCTAAGCCGCATAAGTTAATAGCAATTTAGCGAGAATCCCCTTGGAGGGAGATCGATCCAAAGTTAGTACGATAGGGTCTCTAAGATGCACCACGATTCAAGGCGTATGTAGAACAGGCATCTAACTATACCAATATTTATACTGAACTCGTTTCCAATAAAATGGTGATTTTTCCTTTATAACTTAATATGTCTGTGCTGAAAAAGTCAGAGTCTGAACCATTTTGCCAATCTGACGTACCCTTATTCACTACACTTGCATATTGTAGTAGCAGCCATGCCCGTAGTGAGTTTAAATTTTACATGTATTCAAGAGAAATGTTAAATCCTCAGAAAATGAAAGATACAACACCACTCCCTTTATTTTATGGGCCAGCCTGAAGACTTTCCAGCCACTATTCGTTTTTCCGGGCAATCACTCGATCTGTAGCTACAGTAGAGCGTTTTACATTCTAAGGTTATCTCTAAGAGAAACGTAATATTGATTGGCTTATCCGTTTACATGTATATCACGGGAACGCCACTTCTCGAACTACTGTTTCTTAGCTTAAACTTTTTAGATTCATGCTTTAAACCATTTACAGTGATGTTTGATTTCTGGCATGTCTAGATTTTGTGAACAAAGTAACACTTAATATGATTGTAATTTATGATGTACAACATAAGATATTTTTTTCATTTTTGACCAGATCTTCAACCTACAAAACTGACCAGGACATTATTCATAAGCGACTGCCAATAAGTGGTGATATCTCCCCCAAAGAACAATGGATACCATGGAGTACCAAAATACCACATTAACAGTAAACGAAACGGTCAACTACAGTAGCAACATTACTTATGATGGGACAGACTATGAATGCAGTGGGTGTGGGGTGGAGACTGTGATACCAGTGGTGTTTTCTTTCGTATTTATCGTAGGATTGATAGGCAATGGCAGTCTGATATACATTGTATGCAGGTATAAGTCCATGAGAAACATACCTAACATTTTGATAACAAACCTAGCAGTGGGCGATTTCCTACTCATTATTATATGTGTGCCTTTCACACTTACTATCTACGCATTTCCAAATTGGCCGTATGGAGACACAGTATGCAAAGTCAATGAATTTCTCCAGACCGTATCTCTTGGAGTCAGTGTTTTCACCCTGTCAGCCTTGAGCATTGAGAGGTATTCGACCATTGTCCGTCCATTTCACAGCAGACATCGCAACGCTTTACGTCGAACCTTAATTACCATTGTTACCATTTGGTTTACGTCTATTGCAATAGGAATTCCAGATTTATTTTCCTATCATACCATACAAATCGACCACCAAACCGAGTTTTGTTGGCCTTATCCCGTCACTTGGCCACGTTGGTATGGGCGGGCCCATGTGACGGTGCGTTTTCTTCTATTTTACGTGTTGCCTTTGATTAACATCACATGGTGCTACATTGCCATTGCCAGAGCCTTGTTTTGGGTTACTAAGCACACAGATAAAGCCCCAAAAGTGGATGGAGAAGAACATAAAGGGGATATAAAGACAAGGCAAAAAATCGCCAAGGTAATCCTATCACTTGTTGTGATATTCGGGATCTGTTGGCTTCCTCGGCACATATATCTTATCTGGTTTTTCTACGCATTGGGGCATTATAGCGCGTTCTGGCAAATTTTCAAAAGCGCTGGTTTTGCACTGTGTTTCATAAATTCTTGTCTTAATCCAGTCATGCTCTATTTTCTGAGTAAGCAATTTAAATATGCCTACCATAGGGCATTTTGCTGTCATTGCCATTGCCAAAGAACAGCATTGCGGGGCATAGAGTCAGATACTCCTTTGCAATTTATAAACAAGATTTAGGAACATGTATTAATATGGGTTGTTTGTATTCTGGCGGTAACATCACCAGATGCCTTCTTTTTCATTACATTGGTAATTGCATTCGTTAGAGTATCATTTTGCTGGAATTAGAGGTATCATTTTGTGGGAATTAGAGGAAGAAACCTTACTACTAATTCTATGTGTCGTTCTGTCCGTTTTACTGGTTCGTTTTTAATGAACTCAATGAAAAAAGCTTATATATTGCAATTAGATATTGACGCTTGATGTGCAGACATTTATCAGTTTAATGACAGAGGAAATAATAAAAAGGTAAAAAAAGACCAGACCACTTGTCTGTGATCATATTGGTGCACTTAATGCCAATAACGAACCACAGATCGACTGCCTCCAAGCTTTAAAAGCTTTTCTCTGTTGATCAGTTTTAAAATGTGCAAGCCTACGCCTATTACAAACTGAAAGGTTAGAATTAATTTAACTTCAGTTGTACAAAACATTTTCAAGATGCGTTTCTTTTTTTAATTAATCTTTAATCTTAAAAAAAACTACGTAAATGAACAATGACCAAGTGGGCCTGCATGGTCCTTTATTATATTTCCAATATTGAGCATCTTAGTAGGACTATTATCATAATGTAAGTTTCAAAGTATTCATATTTGCACTTTAATTGTAATGTGACACAATTGATTAATGTCTAAGGTTGTTTTTTGTTGTAATAAAATTTTATACAAACCGCCAGCTAGTATTATTTCTTTAACTGGTCTAAGCAGTTGTGTCATTAAATCAATTGTTTGTACACCTCTCCCTGTAAGTTCAATCTGCATGTGCTTTAGATTATGGATTTAGATGACATCCCGATGGATATTTTGGACACAGTGACAATATACATACAAGACGTCGGGGACGTTTAAAAATCACCAACAATTTCGGTAACTTCACGTAATGTCTTTGTTCGTAGTCTGTAATTCTTTATGACATGTTGCGTTTTGTCTAAAGAGATAAACTAGGCTTGTTAATTATCCTGATTAAGAAGTTAAAGCAATAATAACTCTTCGTTTCGGCCAAAAAATGAATTTTCCTGGAGTAAACAACAATTTTCCCATACTAACCAATGGTTAATGAATCCATTTTTACATTCAAAGTTAGTCCCTGGTTTTTTTTCTAAAAAGTTTGGTTTTTTGTTAAAATCTCTTAAGAGATTTTAACAGAGTATAGACATCAATGGAGGTCACGTTGTCTAAAGACAATTTCAAATATCAGAATAAAAGCTATAACTGCTGTTTTCTTGGTAAAACAGAATATATTATATTTCTATGAGTTATTCACAAGGTTTTTATTGTGAAATATAGGTCTCATACGAAGAGTTATTATCCCTTTAAGTTGAAGAATCCTTTGTCTTGGTTTGATGTTAAAGAGTGGGGTTCCCTACAGAAAGAATGTACCTGAGCAAGTAACGAGTGAACATTAAATGTTTGAAATTGGTTATTGTTGTCAGCGTTGGATTTCCTCATAGCGATTTACGCGCAACTATTTTGACCACGAATCTGGAAGGTAGTATTAACGCGTTACCCAACCTAAAAGCATACAACGGTGGCCGTATTTCGAGCCTGTTTATTATTTTTATTCATTGCTGAATTTGCGCGGTTGCGGACAAAGGCCCCATTCAGAATAGAAAATACATGGCTGATTTTGAGTGATAAAGCCCGGGGGAGGTCAGATAATAATCATAATTTTCCAGTGCAAGCCAAACTACTATCTATAAAAAGAAACAAACTCCTACACAGAGAACCTTTATCTAATATCCTAAAGTTAAAAAAACATTTATGGATATGTCAGGGTCAATAATTGGCCTCCTTTGCTTAAAATCACCAACCAGTAGAAGGTAATGTGCTAATTCAGTTTTTATACTTTCAGCAAAAACACTATTTATAGACACCTTTACTTTTAGTAATTAAACATGACATTGAAACAAAGATACTTTCAGATGAACATGTTATTTGGAGATTAAGCACAATAATTTTCATTAAAAAGCTCCCTCTGCTGTACAGGAAAAGATGTATACATACATATATGTATACCATTAATCTAAGTTGCCTCCAGGGATGTTATCCTGCATCGCGATCAAGCAACTGAAAATCTTTTCAATGCACAGACAACCGAACTGTGTTAAGGACATGAGATGACATAAAACATAGCATTTAGACTCCTGGGGTATGAATGGAAAACAAACGTTTGTATGATGGTAAAACTAACAAGGATTCATTATATCATGATTAACTGAGATAAGATGCCTTTAAAATGCTCACTAGCACACCCACACACAAGACATACAAGTACACACTCCTGCAATCTAGTAAGAGCAGATTTGATTTCAACTTTTTTTATGACAGAAATATTAGTATTTTCAAGCTTTCATGTACCTGAGCTTTTGTGTGATTACCTTAAAAAGCCAGTGCATCACTTCTCTAATGTGCGGTTTTCAGTAAATGTCATAGTCATGAACTAAAAACCCATGGGGAATTCTTTAATTGGATGAACTACAAAAAGAAAGAGCATGACAGTCAACAAAAAACTTCCACTCAAATGTCAAAATGGAAAAAAAATGTACAAAAAACCTCAAAAAATTGATTACTGCGCAAATGTAAAAAGTTCAAATTTGGAACACAGCTTGGAAAATTGTTGATGATATCATTTAAAGATATCATTCAATATTTCCATGCTTTATATTGCAAGGTTGATATGTACTCTGTTAAAAATACTTATTTATATTTCTAATTTTGCCAAGAACCTACCTACAGTGTAGTACTCAAAATCTAATATACAAAAAAAAAAAAAAAAAAAACTGAAGTGGTAAGTTAGGACTGCAGGTTGGAGATTAGGTCTTAGCTTTTTTTATTCCTGTTGCATTCATTAAATGTATCTACAAAACATCTAATTATGCTTGATACACAGCTCCAAGTTCATCGTGTGATGTAATATTGTGATTTTGGAGAGCAAAAACATCATTTTCAGTTCCCTGATTTTCTCAGCTTTTTGCCACCTGGACAGCTATAAACATGCTTTTAATAGTATTATAACACTTGAACAAAGTACCACAAAAGGGATTTAGGGATTTTTCTTTCTAGACTGACTGTTGATTTTATCTATAAAAACATAATTTTTATACCTATTTGAGTACAGTCCCACCTTAATTAATTGACCAGTATGCCATGGAGTGTTTTATTCCACATATTTATAAAATGTACCTGGACTCAAAATAAGTTTTTCTTATGATATTTATTATTTTCAGCATATATGTCAACAGAAAACAACAAGGTTGTGCTTAAATAAGTCATGATATGGCTTGCGTGTAGTTATAAATCATCTTAATCATTCTTGTCTTTTTTTGACTTGGTAAACTTCAGCATTTTCCATAGGAGATTTTTATGTTGTCCACAGCAATATCACTTCTCCACCCATTTCCAGTTTTACCTTCTACATAGAACTGAAATAATAAACATAGATCTAAGTAATTATTTTTCAGCAAAATCAATAACCCCACTTTCCATGCTGCATCTTTATACTCTAAAAATAAAATGCACAAAAAATCAAAAGATACAAAATAATCAGATAAATAGAGGGGACTCTGATGGTCCTGCTTAACCAAGCACAATCAATTCACAATAAAAAAAATTAACTCAATGAAATGAAGCTAGGCATGTAATCAATATTTATAACAACAGCCATTCTGTCTACGTACTAGAACAGGCTTTCTGTGTGGAATGTTTAGCAAAAGATTCAATTTTTACATGAAGTAAATAAAGCAGCACCAATGTGATGGAAATATGTATCCAGTAGGTTTCTAAATAAGCTCTTGTTTCAGCTCTGATGTTGGTGGATCATGCTTAACAAAGTTGCTTCTAAAAATGACACATTTGTTAACTTCTTTCTTTTGATGCGAGTCTATCTATTGATCTCTTTAAAGTCTCTTAGCTATTTCCAACCAGTTAATTTTCTCATATATTTACCTGCTCATCTCCTTGATCTCCCTTATCACCAATATTTTAAGAAGATCAAATTACCAGTGGTAATGTTAAACCGTAAATCAGTTACAATTTACCCACTTTTTCTTCAAATATAAAACACGAGGAGCAAGCAATTCATTATCCATTTGATATATTGCTTGCAACACTTTTGCTGTTATTACAAAGGTGTAAATTTTTCACAACTCTGCCTTCTCCATTATAAATCACCCTATCACACTTTCAAAAATGTGATCAATAAATCAACACAGTTTCCAAATGGAGCTAGCTGCAGCAGCTTTTTTCTTACTATCATACTTAACACCATCAAAACAGGATGTGATCATTGATATTGCTTTTCATTAAAAGTCACCAAGCCTGAGATCAGTTGGACATTTTTACACATGCAATTAAGATCACATCTAGCTGAATATTGAAACCAAAAGCCTTTTTTCACCTAATGATAGAGACCTGTAAAACCCTAACCTGCTATATTTAAGCACCCTGAAGGTCAGATACCTCTGTATGACCCATAATTAGTCTTGACCAGGGGTGGATTATTTGAAAGGGAGTCCACGGATGCAAAGCTGACCCTAAGCCCCCCAACCCCTTGGTGTAGGGTTTGGGGCCTGCTGAAGGGCCAGAAAAATTTTGGTATTTTTGAAGGCGAACTGTGCCATTTGGTACAGATTAGAACTATGATTTAGCTAGTCAAAATTCTACTTTCAAGAGTGGTCATTGCTGTGATTTTTTTTCAGAAATTGAAGGGGGATCAGGACCCCCCTGACCCCCCCTAAATCTGCCAATGGTCTTGCCCATGTGTAAACAAGACTAATACCTCAAGAAAGCAACAGCTTTTTAAAAATCATGAAACATGTCATATTACATTTTCTAAGTGTCCCACTATTTTTGCTTTGGAAAAAAATAAATTGCTGATATCAATCAATGATCAATCAATGATACATTATCAGGCTCTTTATTAATTTTTGTAAAACAGGCATAATACGTATTCTTATTTGCGTAATGCCATTTGATCTTGGGTCATATAAGAAGACTAAAATTTTTGGTTTTTAAGTAAAAAAATAACAACATTTGACTAAAGGCGACAGTCTCACAACAGAACCTCACATCAATTTGGTTCACTTCAATTCAGAATAAAACCATAATAGTCCACCAAAAGTAACTATTGATTAAACATTAGCCATCTCTATCTTTTTTTCAAGGAAGAAGCTTTACATTACCACTGATTTAACTTGGGTCAAAGTAGTCTTAAAGCCTTCAGTCTCAATGTAAAAACCAACAGTTAAGTTTGTCTGTGAAACCCGGTCAAAGTGTTGTATGCATGAAACACAATACGTATACTATGTTATATGTAATGTTTTACAAGGATGTTCTACACATATTTTACCCCCTGAGTAACAGACAACCACAGGTGATACACTCTAACCAAAAAGCCATCACAGTTCAGTTCAACTGTAAGAATGGCACCAAGGGTTGTTCAAAAAGCAAAATTGAAATCAGTTACCTATACCTGTCTGTTACCTTATTTTATCTTGTAAGATTGATGCTCACACCATGGGGGATGTAAAGAACCAAAGACCAAAGTTCAGAGTATCTCACATTCATGCACATTTCACATGAATGCNACCTACCTACTCAAAATCTAATATACAAAAAATTTGAAGTGGTAAGTTAAGACTGCAGGTTGGAGATTAGGTCTTAGCTTTTTTTATTCTTGTTGCATTCATTAAATATCTACAAAACATCTAATTATGCTTGAAACACAGCTCCAAGTTCATCATGTGATGTAATATTGGGATTTTGGAGAGTAAAAACATCATTTTCGGTTCCCTGATTTTCTCAGATTTTTGCCACCTCGACAGCTATAAACATGCTTTTAATAGTATTTTGACACTTGAACAAAGTACCACAAAAGGGATTTAGGGATTTTTCTTTCAAGACTGACTGTTGATTTTATCTATAAAAACATGTTTTTTATCCCTATTTGAGTACAGTCCCACCTTAATTAATTGACCAGTATGCTATATGGAGTGTTTTATTCCACATATTTATAAAATGTACCTGGACTCAAAATCAGTTTTTCTTATGATATTTATTATTTTCAGCATATATGACAACAGAAAACAACAAGGTTGTGCTTAAATGAGTCATGATATGGCTTGCGTGTAGTTATAAATCATCTTAATCATTCTTGTCTTTTTTTGACTTGGTAAACTTCAGCATTTTCCATAGGAGATTTTTATGTTGTCCACAGCAATATCACTTCTCCATCCATTTCCAGTTTTACCTTCTACATAGAACTGAAATAATAAACATAGATCTAAGTAATTATTTTTCAGCAAAATCAATAACCCCACTGTCCATGCTGCATCTTTATACTCTAAAAATGAAATGCACAAAAAAATCAAAAGATACAAAATAATCAGATAAATAGAGGGGACTCTGATGGTCCTGCTTAACCAAGCACAATCAATTCACAATAAAAAAAATTAACTCAATGAAATGAAGCTAGGCATGTAATCAATATTTATCACAACAGCTACTGTCTACGCATATGAACAGGCTTTCTGTGTGGGATGTTTAGCAAAAGATTCAATTTTTACATGAAGTAAATAAAGCAGCACCAATGTGATGGAAATATGTATCCAGTAGGTTTCTAAATAAGCTCTTGTTTCAGCTCTGATGTTGGTGGATCATGCTTAACAAAGTTGCTTCTAAAAATGACACATTTGTTAACTTCTTTCTTTTGATGTAAGTCCATCTATTGATCACTTTAAAGTCTCTTAGCTATTTCCAACCAGTTAATTTTCTCATATATTTACCTGCTCATCTCCTTGATCTCCCTTATCACCAATATTTTAAGAAGATCAAATTACCAGTGGTAATGTTAAACCGTAAATCAGTTACAATTTACCCACTTTTTCTTCAAATATAAAACACGAGGAGCAAGCAATTCATTATCCATTTGATATATTGCTTGCAACACTTTTGCTGTTATTACAAAGGTGTAAATTTTTCACAACTCTGCCTTCTCCATTATGAATCACCCTATCACACTTTCAAAAATGTGATCAATAAATCAACACAGTTTCCAAATGGAACTAGCTGCAGCAGCTTTTTTCTTACTATCATACTTAACACCATCAAAACAGGATGTGATCATTGATATTGCTTTTCATTAAAAGTCACCAAGCCTGAGATCAGTTGGACATTTTTACACATGCAATTAAGATCACATCTAGCTGAATATTGAAACCAAAAGCCTTTTTTCACTTTATGATAGAGACCTCTAAAACCCTAACCTGCTTATATTTAAGCACCCTGAATGTCAGACACCTCTGTATGACCCATAATTAGTCTTGACCAGGGGTAGATTATTTGAAAGGGAGTCCACGGATGCAAAGCTGACCCTAACCCCCCCCCCCCAACCCCTTGGTGTAGGGTTTGGGGCCTGCTGAAGGGCCAGAAAAGTTTGGGTATTTTTGAGGGCGAACTGTGCCATTTGGTACAGATTAAAACTATGATTTAGCTAGACAAAATTCTACTTTCAAGAGTGGTCACTGCTGTGATTTTTTTTTCAGAAATTGAAGGGGGGTCAGGACCCCCCTGACACCCCCCTTTATCTGCCAGTGGTCTCGCCCATGTGTAAACACTAATACCTCAAGAAAGCAACGGCTTTTTAAAAATCATGAAACATGTCATACTACATTTTCTAAGTGTCCCACTATTTTTGCTTTGGAAAAAAAATAAATTGCTGATATCAATCAATGACACATTATCAGGCTCTTTATTAATTTTTGTAAAACAGGCATAATACGTAGTCTTATTTATGTAATGCCATTTGATCTTGGGTCATATAAGAAGACTTAAATTTTTGGTTTTTAAGTAAAAAAAAATAACAACATTTGACTAAAGGCGCCAGTCTCACAAAAGAACCTCACACCGATTTGGTTCACTTCAATTCAGAATAAAACCATAATAGTCCACCAAAAGTAACTATTGATTAAACATTAGCCATCTCTATCTTTTTTTCAAGGAAGAAGCTTTACATTACCACTGATTTAACTTGGGTCAAAGTAGTCTTAAAGCCTTCAGTCTCAATGTAAAAATCAACAGTTAAGTTTGTCCATGAAACCCGGTCAAAGTGTTGTATGCATGTAACACAATACGTATACTATGTTATATGTAATGTTTTACAAGGATGTTCTACACATATTTTACCCCCTGAGTAACAGACAACCACAGGTGATACACTCTAACCAAAAAGCCATCACAGTTCAGTTCAACTGTAAGAATGGCACCAAGGGTTGTTCAATAAGCAAAATTGAAATCAGTTACCTATACCTGTCTGTTACCTTATTTTATCTTGTAAGATTGATGCTCACACCATGGGGGATGTAAAGAACCAAAGACCCAAGTTCAGAGTATCTCACATTCATGCACATTTCACATGAATACTAGAAACAAACTGTGTTATGATGCCCATTTCATCACCTGCAAACATGCATGCAGGTATATGCCACTTGATACATAAGGCCTTTTCACACCAAGTGTTATATCTCATTTTAGCCGTACAGCTGTACCAGTGCATTTTGGGAGATTGACAACTCTAAAATAGTCTGGCTATGACATAAGAGGGTCCCTGAACATCAGACACTCAAGCTTTAGTGTCCATGCCTGAACAGAGCCCAATTTAAGTTCTACCCACACAGCAAAAAGCAAACTGCCCAAAGGCCATTGCAGTGTAATTCCTTGGTAAAACCTCTTAAAACATACCTGTTCAGCTGTATCCCTTTTCTGTCCATTGTTTGGGTTAAAGCCATTATCTATATCTTATATATTCCATATCATATAACTGTGAAATTACCCATTATAAGAAAAAAGCTAAACATAGTCTGATACACCTACAAAAATGCTAAAAAAAAATCACAAAAATTTCATTGAAAATGAGTGCTTACATTAAATTCTCCAGAATATCCAATATTGGCAGTGAGCAAGAAATGTCTCCATCTTGTCCCCTTGTCTCCACTGATTGTTGTCAATGCTCTGTAATCAGAGCCAAACTTGACACCAATCTTCAGAGTTCCCATGTTGGCACCATACATGTGATAGTAGAAGTCAATGCAGTATCGGGTGGAAGAACCATATCCCATAACAGCTGGTGACAGCAGGCGTGCTGTCTTTCCAGAGTATCCACTAGCTTCCACATACACATATTTTCCTGAGAGTACAAAAAATACAGATGTATTTTTTTCTGTTGTATAAAAAAATTATAAAAATAATAGAGCTCAATGACTATAACTTCATTCTAGATATATAATAATAGTCTGCCTCTTAAAATGTGAGCATGCAGTTAAGTCACATGTTCTGAGAAGATTTATTTTAAAAGAATCTTCATCATTAAAAAAAGTGAATATTAATTCTTACCACTACCACTTTGGTCTGCTGTGGGTCCTGTATTGCTAGATGGTGTACTGCCTGAGGTTAATGTCCAGTCCATGTCATCTGACCGGTCCTGGCCCCAGCCACACAGGTTTCTATCAAAGGTGCAGCTTGAAAGATAGGCACCTTAATGAAAAAAAACAACAAAAAACTCATGATATAGTAAACCCACACACACATATATCTTTAAGTAAAAATTCTCAATTAAAAAAAAAGTTAAACCTATTGCCTGATAGTTCTGACTGACAGATTATAGTACTTGAACTTTCAAAAAAAAAAAAAAAAAAACCCACTCTTGAGATGTATTTCATATCTTTTAAAAGGAAAAACTAGAAGTTCATTTTTTGATGGATGAGAACCATTTTCAATACTTTACTATAACAGCAGGTAATAATGGTGTAACGGATGCGTTGATATTTAAGATGATTAAAGAGCACAGTGGGGGCACGGTACACAACACTGCAACAATTAAACTTACCTGGTTTAGGTGTGGTGTATGAAGTTTGAGCTCCAGAGGCTGTGAAAAGAGAGAAAATATTGGTCATTTTTTACAACAATGTTTAGGTGCAATGACTCTGGCTTGTATTTGATTCCACTGATCAATCATACAAAATTTAGATACCAGGATTTATGTTCTATATTTTCAGAGTGAACTTATCCCTTACATATCAATAACCTTTTTCTTACATTGATTTACATTAGTTACATTAGCTGATTAATCAGTATGTGATTTACATTACATAAAGCATTCAGCAGAATTTTGATAAAAGAAATTCATTCACTGCTAAAATTGGAATTAAAAAAAAAAAAGATACACATTCCATTTAATTATGAACAGTGAACAATGCTTGATAATGAAAAACACATTTTAATACAAATATTACACTACTGGTGGCAAACCGTGGACATTTACTATTGGTGTTTGGAATATGTAGGCAAATAATTTATAATGAATGACATACAAATACAAATTTCATAAGAAAATCATACCAGTACACTTGTAGAACTTCCTCACATCTTCAATATCACTAGAACTGAGTCCTACACGCTGGCCGATGGTGACTCCAGACTTCTTGGCAACCAAGGTGGGCTTTGACCTGTCCTTGGCAAAGTAGTATGCCCCATAATGCATGATGGAACCATAGTCATAGGGGGTGAAATGTTGGATTTCGCCAGCACTATACTTCTCAAATTCAGATTCTTTACCTACAGAAATTAAATGCATAGTGTTATAACTGGGATCTGAGTGAGAGGGGAAATGGAGGAATAAGTTGATGTGAAGCACCACAAGTGTATGGATGAGGCCAAAGTAAAAACCTCCATGCATTGCATAGTTTTCTTGTCATAATTTTGAACTAGATCAAAGACTGAACCATGAAGCAAAGTACTATAGAATAATCAGTCAATTTTTCCATTATTATCAGCAAAAATGGTCTCATAATCAGTTCAATCGCAGATCACTGTGATATACTACATTAGCTGATTAAACAGTATCCACTTACCTGATGGACCTTATTGTAAGCTACAGTCACATAATTGTCTCTATATTTTAATGACACTGCTCATTATAAAATACTATATTTGCCAATAAAACAGTATAGACTGACCTGATTGAATATTACTGTAGACTACAGTCACATAATTGTCTCTATCATAACGACTCTGTTCATGATGGAAACCAAGGGTGTGCAGCAACTCGTGCATGACAGTTCCCTTCTGAAGGCAGCCACGGCCCAAAGACACATCCTGTTTTCCACCAAACTTTCCAACACCAGAAAAGCATCTTTAATTGAAAGAAAATTATAAATATCAGTGTTTAATTGCAATGATCTCCATGTCCATGATTATCATATAAAAAAAAATGTTAAGTTTGGTACAATGAAAAGAGGTGATAGCACTCTCCTTCGGTTCATTCAAAGGAGAAAATCCTTTTTGATTGTTTGGGAGACCACTGTTACCACATTAAGTAAGGGCAAAAATGAAACTCATTACAGAATGCAAAATAATTGTAGGATGTTATTCACTGAATAATCATCTATTCAAATATCACACATAAAATAATTAAGCACATGACATGAAATTAAAAGTTTCCACCCTGGAATTGACAAAAATCACAACTGCACAAAACACCTTACACATTAACAAAAACATCCATGGGGAATATCATCCACAGGGAATACAAAAGGAAAAGATATTAATTATCAAACAGAATAACGATTCTCACCCTGAAATAGGTCTGACATGGATGTAATCTGATTCACTTCTACGTGGCGTAAACCTTATACAATAAATGTTGCCCACTGCCACTTTCTGTTCTAGTTCTCTCATGGCTTCCACTATGATATCAGAGGCGTAGGATGCTTTAAGTAATAAAAAGTCAAAGATAGAAAATGAAATGAGCAGGCTGATTGTAAGAATATCAATCTGATCCCTTGGTGGTGATAATGCTTCTTTTAGTAAGATATACGCCATAGTTTCTTTTTTCTGTGGACAAGTGCGATGATTATAGGTACGAACGTTTGACTTTTACTCAGAATTAATAGATTTGTTTCTTAAGTTCACAACTCAATAAACAGCATATATATCATTTTGTTAAATATTATAATGTTGGCAGTCCAGTTTATAGCCAATCTTAATAGAAGTCTTCTTTTGTACTCACGGTATGAGCTGTCAATAATGTAAGGTACAACACCATTGGGCCATCGCTGGAAGTCATTTTTCATGGCATTTCTGTGCTGGATATGATATTAAAAAAACAGAGTAATAGATACTGTCCTACAACTAAAACATACAACTAGACAAATTTTTCAGTTTTCATGATCATGAATTTTGTTTGTGAAAATAATTTCATTGGATCTTAGTTTTCATTGTCAGAAAGTTTTTATTTATAATAGATCCTGAAATTTTGATTTACCTGTTGACTGTCAGGCCTACCCAACTACCAGACTCGGCACCTAAGGATCCTGAATAAACTGGTATATCGCACCACACTACCCGTTTTCAAGGTGTGTGTCAGATTGCATTTTGGAGTATCATACCCCAGAAGAAATTTTGTAAGACGACTGCGGGCTCATCCACGCTCGGCTGAACAACCTTAAACTGTACTCTTACTTTAGAGTACTCTAGTTTATTGTCTCTATGGGGGTATATGGGCACTTTTCGACATTCGGTTTGAATGATTTAACACCTTTTGATAGGGCTTTTTTGCATTGTATTAGATTAATGTGGCAGTCTAAGGTTGTTCTAGGTGGTTTTGAAATTTATGCACCCGATTTTAAAATCATATAGCGATTTTACGACAATCGCTTACTATCCAATCAAGGTGACAGCCGAGCGTGGGTTCATCCCTTCGGTGTTCTGACTGATACTCCGAAATGCGATCTGACACACACCTTGAAAACGGGTAGCGTGGTCCGATATACCGGTTAATTCGGGATCCTTAGGTGCCGAGTCTGGTAGTTGGGAAGGCCTGACTGTGAGAGGGACTAACAAGTCATCATCAAGACTGAGGTAATTACCTGTTCACCTTCACCTGAACAGGTAATTCAGTTGTGACCAAGTCTGTCAGAGTGAAAAGATGAAACAGTCAACAGGTAAATCAAAATTTCAGGATCTATCATAAATGAAAACTTTCTGACAATTAATGTTGTTTGTTGGTACTTGGTAGATCCAAAATCTCAAAACACTGAGGGGGGAGGAGAGCATTTTTATTGCCCCCCCACCCCCAACCCCTTTAACCAGTGCATCTGCTGAAGTATTGAACAGGTACAAAGAAACATTTTAGGCTTGCAAGACTATCTTATAAGAATGTTAAACACGAACAGTTGTCTTTGCAAATATTTCCAGTTCTGGTCAATTAGTCTTTCTGAAGTGATTACCCCAACATAAACTATCACTGACAGACCTAATAGCCTAAGAGATACTAAGAGTGAATGAAAATCAGGGTATATCACATTTGTGTACAGACATATAAGACAAAAAAGTAAATGCAACTTCATCAGCTAAAATTTCGATTTTTGACAATCTTTTATAAAACTGAGGAGTTTTGGTCCAAATTAAGACAGCTTATTGATACTTAATCACTGTAGCTAAAACTCTTTAACCAATTAAACATTTTTTTTATGAAACAGGGCTCTGAAGAAGTTTCACCCATTCTGATGCACTTACTTTAAAGAGGCTAGGGTCAAGATCCATATCACCTTCAAATTTACCTAGCAATGATGAAGTTAAATTTTTGTATTGTTTATTAAGATATGCTTAGGTCATAACAAATAACACTGAAATATTTAAAAAAAAAATAAATAAATAAACAAAAGGAACATTATGGGCTTTCTATATCTAAAATTCAATTTATGCTAATTCAAAGATCTTACTTACTGTAAGTGGTCTTTAAACAATATGCAGTAAACACCAATTAAGAGACTCGCACAAAATGCAAAGTGAAAGCAATAGTTATCCATTGCATAAAGGGCAAATAACATAATCAAAATAAAGCAATTTTTGCAACAAATAACCATTGTGATTAAACAACATGTTATTTTGTTTAAATATTGTTAGAAAAAAGAACCATCAAAGTCAAGATCATTTTAGTAAGAGCTGGTAAGAAATGTCATCTAGGGCACAATGTAAAATCCTTACCTCCCATTTCCTCAGGTGACACTCCTGGGGGAAGGTTGGGCTGTGTCCAGGACAGCAAATCTATACAACAATACATTACAAAATTTCCTGATGTTGGCAATGAAGTGATCTTTATTGAAATTGTTTGTTTTTTAACAGAGTTGACATTTATGTCTGATTTATAGTATTATAAGTTCCAATTCTAAAAACTGATACGACACAAAGGTTCACTGACAGAAGATCTTTATGCATGTACTACATTAATGCCTATGCATGCAAACTTGAAGTTTCTTAGGGATATATTTATTCAGTGAGTGGGACTAGTACAGGTACATGTATATATCTACACGAGTCTGCCTGAGAGACTAAAAAATGTGTTGCTAGATTAAAGTGTCATCCTTATAAAGTATTTCAGTATTGTGTATCTTTAAAAAAAAAAACCTCTGCCACATTGAACTGGCAAAGCTACCCAACTCTGCAGCTCATTCTTGTTGCTTTCCAAGTAACCAGTCTTGAATGTGTGACCACTTTCAAATACGGAGAATTGATTGAATTTTCCTCTTTTGACTTCCTTGTTGTTTTAACTTTTAGTTTCACCTCAAATGCAAGCTAGATCTTTGACGTAATGAAATTACTGCTCTTGAATAAAAATCACTTAATCATTTTATTTCATAAAGTGAAAGTGCGAAGAAAGGGTAGAAGTTTATTTGGTTGAAGCCAAATAAAGAAAAGTGTTTGAAAAAGACATGCTTGGAAATGATGCACGAACTTAGTTCAGTAATAAGTTGAAAATTGATTGATGATACACGCCAGCAAAATAAGTTATGGTACATTAAAGCTATAAAAAACACTTTATTGCATAATAACACTTTTTGGTTTACAAAAATGCAGCTTTCCATTGTCTATGATATCCTCTTTTGACTACTCCACTAACATATCAGATTACACGACAAAAAATGTAAGGAAGTGATGACACATTCACTGTTTTTCTAGGTATAACCTGTATCTGCAAAAAACATGTCCTTATCTTCATTCAGCCATAAGGAACACCCAGGGAAAACAATGGATGTGATCCCCCTTGTGCAATAGTTCTGGTTAGCCTCAGCTAGCAAAGCTCCCTCAAACCCTAATTTTCCTTGTTGGAATAAGTATAAAAGCAACAGAAATTTATGAAAGTTTCAGATACAATTGTGCATTGATATCAGTTCAATATGGAGCTGTGCAAGAAAGTCATGTTTATTGTATTCCTATTTGCACTGGCAATCACTTTGTCACAAGAAACAAGGGCTTTAGGGCTTTATGGAGAGGATCTGGAGACTGGCACTATGGGGTTTAAAGATGTTGCAGAACTACTGCTACAAGAGATGCGTTGCCGCAGCATTCAAAACAAACAACAGAGACAAATCAACCTGCTGGGGAATCTGGCAAGAAAGTTGCAGGTAATCCAATAACTCAGTTTGTATTTTCTGGGTGTTTAAGGGTGGTTGGAAACAGAGGCATGTGTTCCCTCAAAAATCATGAATTTGAATACAAGTGATTTCAAGATGGGTGATATATTGAACTTTGCAGAAAGCCTGATAATTTTGCAACACAAGTTCCATGGGATGTTAATGAACAAAACTATATTAGGCAACCACTAATTCAAAGGTCAACAATAATTTTTTTCATAAGTGTGTATACAATTTTGTTGATGATTATTTATTTATTTATTTTTTGTTTTCTATGCATTACATAAGAAATGTCCAAAAGAAGAGTTAGACTAACCTTATTTTGTTTATCATTCATATATCAAAATTCAGAGACAAGTACAAGATATCACACAGAAACTGCCTCACTCTGAGGATGAAGAAAACTTAGAAGAACCTCCCATTTTACACAGATCTGCCAACAAGACCCATACCAGAAATAAACGAAATATCCGAAATGGTAAGCGAAGTATTTCTGACCCCAGAAAACTATTCCATTTCGTTTTTGAAGTATTCTGAAAAATCAATGAAGTCTGATCAAAATTTTATCTAATTATAAAATCTGTTCTTAATGCACACTGTAGGTCCATTACCCAGTGGCATTGCTAGTGGTGCCACCTATACAAGATGGGGAAGAAAGACATGTCCACCAGGAGCAGAGTTAGTGTATGATGGTACAAACAACTCAAATTCTTTATCAGTCAAAATGTCACTGAATTACTAAAAAAAATCTATTATAAACTGACACTTACACCATATAATCCTAAACAGATGGCATTATGATAATCATTTGAAGATCAGCTAGGGGTTGTGATTAATATATTAATTATGATTATTTTATTTTTTAAGGCAATGTTTAGACTTTAGTTTTCCTCTTTTATACATGTTGTTTTCACAAGTTTTCTCAAGTATTCCGAGGAACTTTGGTTTAAATTGTAGAAATATATGCATGTAAAAACTGATTGTCATCCTTGATTTTTTTTCTTAGGTGTGATCGGTGGATCTCTTTATACTCACAACGGTGGAGGTAGTGATCTGCAGTGTCTTCCCCACACCCCGCAGTGGGGAACTTATAAAGATGGTTTTCAGTCAAGTGCCTTCATGTATGGAGCAGAACTAGAGATTCAAGCCAATGACCCATTCAGTAAAGTCAACACTGGGAGGATCACTAGACTTCATGATGAGACCCCAGTTTGTGCTGTGTGCCGGTCTGTTAATCGGTCCAGTCAAGTCATGATCCCAGCGAGAAGAGAATGCCCAGAAAGCTGGACTAAGGAGTATAATGGCTACCTTATGTCGGCACATCATGGACACAAAAGATCTCAATTTGTGTGCATCGATGGGGCACCTGAGGTAAACGAGGGTGGAACTGGGAACCAAAATGGTGCCCTGCTGTACGTGGTTGAAGCAAAGTGTGGCTCCCTCCCATGTCCAAGTTATGTTGATGGCAGAGAACTGACCTGTGTTGTTTGTTCAAAGTAAATTGCATTGTGGTTGATGTGATTGTGCTGCGCTGTCTACTATAAAGCACATTTGTCTTGTTCCAGGCGCTTAATGTAGTTTCGCAAAATTTTTTTTAAAAGTTTTATTTTGATTGTAATTTTAGGTCCATACTTTTTACCCACTTTGAGCTAAGATAAATCAGTTGTATTCCATGTCAATGAGAATAATATACCAGATCACAAAATGAGAGAAATACCTTATGCTTTATCTATGTTTTTTCATCATTTTAGGTGCTTTACTTGATTGAAATAGAACAAATTTTAGAGCTTTAAAACCAATATATTATTTTATTCATTTTTGTTAAACCAGGCTGGTCAAAACGTAATTGGTACTTTGTGCTGTAGGCAAAGAAAATTGCTGTTTGAGTCAAGTCTGTAGATCTGGATCTAAAGACTGATATAGTACATGCATGCTGCTTAATCAAATTTATGTATTACAATGTATATTATACCCTTCTGTGTTACATGAAAGCAAAAAATATCAAACAAATGAACATTCTGCATGACTCTCTAATTACAACTGGAAGAAAAATATATTAAGCATACATTTTGGTCACATTCATCTCATTTTACCAGAAGATTGCCTTACTTCTCTTAAAATAAATTCCAAGGGTCAGACCATTCTTCAAGTTCTAATTTTTCAGCATGTTATGATTTTTTTGTTCAAAGTTCAAAGAGAAATTTAGGTGCTTGAATAAAGAAATTATTAAATGAAAAGACTTGTTTTTTTTTAACCATAAAACAATATATATATTATGAGAGACATTTTTGGCCACCCTGAAAAATGAAACAAACTCAAAATACCTTAATTAAAGGATGTCTAATATAAAAAATCAATTAAATAAACAAAAGGCACAAAATAAAATGTTCTCTATTAGTGGTCTTTAAACAATATGCAGTAAGCACCAATTAAGAGACTCTCACAAAATGCAAATTGAAAGCAATAGTTATCCATTGCATAAAGAACAAATGACATAATAAAAACTAGAGGATCAGAGAGGCGATACCGCCTCCGAATATTGTACCACCAGCTGGGGTAAGCGCGATCGTATAGACCCCCACACACACAAAAAAGGGACACCACCACCAGTCTTGTGCTTGTCAAGCTGTAAAAAATGCAATCAACAAGAATTCTCAAAATATGCAAAAAAATATATATATAACTAAAAATGGTACAATCAANCTCTGCCAGTTTTGGAGATATAAGGGACTAAATTTTATAATTTTGGAGTTACAATAATGTGCCATAAATTTCGTACAGAAAAAATTAATTAAAATAAAGAAAAGGTCATTTTGGTCAAAATTCTTGAAATGGGAGGTGCTCTGAAGTTCCAGATGTTCAAATTTGATGAAATAATGTCATTTTTGACCACAGGTTGTCTGCCTCGCCAAGCCTTATGTTTTATTTTTCAGGAGTTCAAAATTTATTATCCATTACCGTACTGCACATTTTGCTTTCACCACCAATATGTACTTTTTGATATAGCGTAACTCGAAAACCGTATGGAATACAAAAAAACGGAGACCACTTCCAGTGTTGGGCTTTACATGCTCTACAAAATGCAAAAAAGAATGGGTCTCTAGCACTAACGGTTCCCAAATTAGAGACAGTTTTCAGTTTCGGTATCTTATGGCCGCTACTCCCGTGAAAATGCACCGATTGACCCCAAATTCAATGAGATGAAAGATGACCCAAAGGGTAACACTTTCCAATAATATTATTGGTTAAGTCTGTGTAGTGTCTGAATAACAGCGCAAAAAAAAAAATTTTCGTAAAAAAATTCGTTTTTTTTTTAAATTTTGGCCCGTTTGACCTTGAAGTAAAGGTCAAAGGTCAAATCCAAGGGCATATTTGAAATCTACACATACGACTTTTGGAAAGCCGTCTGTAGAAATTTTTCCCATAATTCCTTCCATAGGGTAGATAATTAGCATTTAATTTTGCCAATTTTGGACAAGGGTGCATTGCAATGAGTGCCACACCTAGACCCCAATACCGACAAAGCCCAAATTTTACGTGGAACGAGTTGAGATTATAGGTGACTTAAATCCAAGAGATGGGTACGCAGGCCCTAGTAGTCTAGGAGGAGAAGCGGTAACGGTGACTTGGCGGCGGAGCCGGCGGAACATACGGGTCGGGACTAAAACCATGTGTACCGCCAGCGCCTACGCTGGTGGTACAATAAAGCAATTTTGGCAACAAATAACCATTATGACTAAACAACATATTATTTTGTTAAAATATTGTTACAAAAAACCCATCAAAGTCGAGATCATTTTAGAAAGAGCTGGTAAGAAATGTCATCTAGGGCACTATGTAAAATCCTTACCTCCCATTTCCTCAGGTGACACTCCCGGGGGAAGGTTGGGCTGTGTCCAGGAAAGCAAATCTATACAACAATACATTACAAAATTTCCTGATGTTGGCAATGAAGTGATCTTTATTGAAATTGTTTGTTTTTTAATAGAGTTGACATTTGTGTCTGATTTATGGTATTATAAGTTCCAATTCTAAAAACTGATATGACACAAAGGTTCACTGACAGAAGATCTTTATGCATGTACTACATTAATGCCTATGCATGCAAACTTGAAGTTTCTTAGGGATATATTTATTCAGTGAGTGGGACTAGTACAGGTACATGTATATATCTACACGAGTCTGCCTGAGAGACTAAAAAATGTGTTGCTAGATTAAAGTGTCATCCTTATAAAGTATTTCGGTATCATGTATCTTAAAAAAAAAAAAAAAAAACACCCCTCAGCCACACTGAATTGGCAAAGCTACCCAACTTTGCAGCTAATTCTTGTTGCTTTCCAAGTAATCAGTGAGCCAATCTTGAATGTGACCACTTTCAAATACGGAGAATTAATTAAATTTTCCTCTTTTGACTTCCTTGTTTTGTTTTAACTTTTAGTTACACCTCAAATGCAAGCTAGATCTTTGACGTAATGCTCTTGTATAAAAATCACTTAATCATTTTATTTCATAAAGTGAAAGTGCAAAGAAAGGGTAGGGGTTTATTTGGTTGAAGTTAAAGTATGAAAAGCATTTGAAAAAGACATGCTTGCAAATGATACACGAATATAGTTCAGTAATAAATTGAAAATTGATTGATGATACAAGCCAGCAAAATAAGTTATGGTACATTAAACCTAAAAAACACACAATATATTGCAAAATAAAAATTTTGATGAAAAAAAAAATGCAGCTTGCCATTGTCTGAAAGATCCTATTTTGACTGCTCCACTAACATATCAGATTACACCACAAAAAATGTAAGGGAGTGATGACACATTCACTGTAATTCTAGGTATAACCTGTATCTGCAGAAAACATGTCCTTATCATCATTCAGCCATGAGGAACACCGAGGGAAAACAATGCATGTGATCCCCCTTGTGCAATCGTTCTGGTTAGCCTCAGCTAGCAAAGCTCCCTCAAACCTTTATTTTCCTTGTTGGAATAAGTATAAAAGCAACAGAAATTTATGAAAGTTTCAGATACAATTGTGCATTGATATCAGTTTAATATGGAGCTGTGCAAGAAAGTCATGTTTATTGTGTTCCTATTTGCACTGGCAATCACTTTGTCACAAGAAACAAGAGCTTTAGGGCTTTATGGAGAGGATCTGGAAACTGGCACTATGGGGTTTAAAGATGTTACAGAACTACTGCTACAAGAGATGCGTTGCCGCAGCATTCAAAACAAACAACAGAGACAAATCAACCTGCTGGGGAATCTGGCAAGAAAGTTGCAGGTAATCCAATAACTCAGTTTGTATTTTCTGGGTGTTTAAGGTTGGTTGGAAACAGAGGCATGTGTTCCCTCAAAAATCATGAATTTGAATATAAGTGATTTCAAGATGGGTGATATATTGAACTTTGCAGAAAGTCTGATAATTTTGCAACACAAGTTCCATGGGATGTTAATGCACAAAACTAGATTAGGCAACCACTAATTCAAAGGTCAACAATAATTTTTTTTCAAAAAAGTGTATACAATTTTCTTTCTGATGATTATTTTTGTTTTTTGTTTTCTATGCATTACATAAGAAAAGTCCAAAAGAAGAGTTAGACTAACATTATTTTGTTTATCATTCATATATCAAAATTCAGAGACAAGTACAAGATATCACACAGAAACTGCCTCACTCTGAGGATGAAGAAAACTTAGAAGAACCTCCCATTTTTCACAGATCTGCCAACAAGACCCATACCAGAAATAAACGAAATATCCGAAGTGGTAAGCACAGTATTTCTGACCCCAGAAAACTATTCCATTTCGTTTGTAAAGTATTCTGAAAAATCAATGAAGTCTGATCAAAATTTTATCTAATTATAAAATCTGTTCTTAATGCACACTGTAGGTCCATTACCCAGTGGCATTGCCAGTGGTGCCACCTATACAAGATGGGGAAGAAAGACATGTCCACCAGGAGCAGAGTTAGTGTATGATGGTACAAACAACTCAAATTCTTTATCAGTCAAAATGTCACTGAATTACTAAAAAAAATCTATTATAAACTGACACTTACACCATATAATCCTAAACAGATGGCATTATGATAATCATTTGAAGATCAGCTAGGGGCTGTGATTAATATATTAATTATGATTATTTATTTTTTAAGGCAATGTTTAGACTTTAGTTTTCCTCTTTTATACAAGTTGTTTTCACAAGTTTTCTCAAGTATTCTGAGGAACATTGGTTTAAATTGTAGAAATATATGCATGTAAAAATTGATTGTCGTCCTTGATTTTTTTCTTACATGTAGGTGTGATAGGTGGATCTCTTTACACTCACAACGGTGGAGGTAGTGATCTGCAGTGTCTTCCCCACAACCCGCAGTGGGGAACTTATAAAGATGGCTTTCAGTCAAGTGCCTTCATGTATGGAGCAGAACTGGAGATTCAAGCCAATGACCCATTCAATAAAGTCAACACTGGGAGGATCAGAACTCTTCAGGATGAGACCCCAGTATGTGCTGTGTGCCGGTCCATTAATCGGTCCAGTCAAGTCATGATCCCAGCGAGAAGAGAATGCCCAGAAAGCTGGACTCAGGAGTATAATGGCTACCTTATGTCGTCACATCATGGACACAAAAGATCTCAATTTGTGTGCATCGATGGGGCACCTGAGGTAAACGAGGGTGGAACTGGGAACCAAAATGGTGCCCTGCTGTACGTGGTTGAAGCAAAGTGTGGCTCCCTCCCATGTCCAAGTTATGTGGATGGCAGAGAACTGACTTGTGTTGTTTGTTCAAAGTAAATTGCATTGTGGTAGATGTGATTGTGCTGAGCTGTCTACTATAAAGCACATTTGTCTTGTTCTAGGCGCTTAATGTAGTTTCGCAAAATTTTAAAAAAAAGTTTTATTTTGATTGTTATTTTAGGTCCATACTTTTTACCCACTTTGAGCTAAGATAAATCAGTTGTATTCCATGTCAATGAGAATAATATACCAGTTCACAAAATGAGAGAAATACCTTATGCTTTATCTATGTATTTTATCATTTAAGGTGCTTTATTTGATTGAAATAGAACAAATTTTAGAGCTTTAAAACCAATATTTTACTTAATATTTGTTAAACCAGTTCCAGCAACATGGCTGGTCAAGACGTAATTGGTACTTTGTGCTGTAGGTAAAGAAAATTGTTGTTTGAGTTAAGTCTGTAGATCTGGATCTAAAGACTGATATAGTACTGCATGCTGCTTAATCAAATTTATGTATTACAATGTATATTATACCCTTCAGTGTTGCATGTACGCAAAAAAAATCAAACAAATGAAGAAAAATATATATAGCATACATTTTGGTCACATTCATCTCATTTTACCAGAAGATTGCCTTACTTCTCTTAAAATAAATTTCAAGGGTCAGACCATTCTTCAAATTCTATTTTTTCAGCATGTTATGATTTTTTTGTTCAAAGTTCAAAGAGAAATTCAGGTGCTTGAATAAAGAAATTATTAAATGAAAAGACTTGTTTTTTTTTAACCATAAAACAATATATATTATGAGAGACATTTTTGGCCACCCTGAAAAATGAAACAAACTCAAAATACCTTAAAGCTTTATATGTATTTTCTCTTTTTATGTACCTGAAGTTGTTAGTTAAAACCCAGTCAGTTTATGATGAATGATGCATATAAATACTAATAATACTGACATGACTTGAGGATCAACTTCCATTAGTTAAGTCCTAGCTTATGCTTATATAATAGTTTCTGACTGATTCTAGCTCTTCACAAACATGAAAACTTACCAGCTGCCTCATCCAACACACCAACTGACTGGAAGAAAAGATCAATATTATTCAACTATAATATATCTCACAAATGAGAACAGAAAAAAGAGAAAGCCGAGACCCTAAAATATTTGAAGTTAATCACTTAGAATATTTTGAAATGTGGGAACCAGTTATTACTTACACATCTATCAATTTTTGAACAATTTTACAATGATTTCAGTTGCACAGTATCACACATATCTTAGTGAACAGATGCTAAATTAATCAATTTACCTAAATTAGTTAAAAATGTATATCATACTACTTACTGCAGCATCACATGAAATGAAGACAACTGCAAGAAGAACTGCAAGGCACTCCATGCTTTGTGTCACCATCTTAGACCTGCTTCACAGTGATCCCAAGAAGAAAGCCCAAGGTTTTAGATACCTGTCCATGGGTTACCTCACATATCCTTATGTCATAATCACATATTGAGTGGGTTGGTCTTAATTGGGAAGGAAACAGGTGGAGTACTAAAGTCCATGCTTACATGCTTTGGTTTGGCCACATAACTAGTAATTCTTCAAAGCAATGTTACACAGCGATGCAAAATTTTAAAGTATCGAGTCAATTTTTGGTTTTCTTTTTCCAAAAGAACCTTGCACATGAAATCGAACCACCTACCTTTCAGTTTTGAAAAAGATTGCATTGTGGTGGTATTCCTTATACTTGGAGCAAGTACTGGACAGATTTAATAACCCATTCCCCTTTTTTATACCCATGATTCTCTCTAGTGCCCCTTAAGCTCTGGTCAAACCACCCTAATGTAATGTCTTACATAAGTTCCTAAAGGTGGGCCAATTACAGATTAAATTTCTTTGTCACCTAGTGTGACATTTGCGAAAGTTCTCATATAACCCCGCTACATTTCCTGGGGGGGGGTGGTTACAAAGAGAAGGGAGGATTAAAAGATTCACTTTTTGGGATGAACATTTTAATGAAAAGGTAATGTAAAGAAAAAACAATAACAGTCTATGTATGAAAAAAACAAGAAGATTTACTAGTTTTTCTTACATAAAAATCCATTTAAATAATATAAAAAGTTACTTAAATTAAGAAAAACACTTTGGCCAAATGTCAATAGTACCCATTAACGTATTAAAGAATAAAAAGACAGTGTCCCTAAAGTAGCTACTGTTTTCAGTAAAAATAGAACATTCCAAATAAAATCCAAAAATAATTATGTGTTTTCTGTCTGCTTATCAACCATATCCTTCAGACTAAAAAGTAATAACTGAATTAAAAAAAGGGATTATTTCAATATAAACATGATATAGATAGTCCTACTCTATGCTTTATTTCTCTACAACAGTATGTTTTGTAATAAACAGAGGCAAGGGTGCCTTTCAAATGTATATCATCAAACCCCCATTGACTACATAAATGAAAAAAGAAATTGCACTTGTAAATATCCTTTGATCATAAATTGCCACACCAAAATGAAATCGTCATACATACATTAATTCTGATGTGAATAGCTCATCAAAAAGACAAACTCAAATAATGTTGGAATTGCATTGGGTTTTCTCTCAAGAATCAGAAGTAAAAACATTCAGAGTTAGTACTTCAAAGTGCTATATACCCTGACTAACTTTTTACCAAAATCTTATTCGAACACCATCAGACTTCACTCTTTCATGTGCTGACCCCCACACAACCTTTCTCAAAACATTTTTGAATGTCAAAAACCAAAGGTAAGATTTACACACTGCCACTTTAAAAGTTACTTCAGTCTGTAACCTCACTTTATTAACTGAGTATATCAAGCCTATTAATCCCAACAATATGCCCATGGTTAACACATAAAGAAACCACAGGATTGGCAGACCTCTTTGAGTTTCAGTTTTTAATACATGCCCAGTAAAAAAAATCTCAAAATTGAATCTTTTCAATCTTGACCACCTTGTTAATTACACATTGTCGAGGTGTATATTCATATGTTTAAGAATCTGACATGTTTTATCAGTCTTTCAATTGTATTTATACTACTTTAAAACTTTTAAAAAAATCTACTTTTGGAAGCAATAAATTAATGAAGAATTCCAGATACTGAAAATACTATTTCACTGAAATAACTGATCTGTTAAAACATTTTATTACACAAGTTAATATATTATACCAATACTGAAGCATTTCATGTAATATAATATAATATAATGAGGCAACCAGAAGTGAATCAAATGTTAATGTATTAAATGTTTGTCACGTTTTTGATCCTCTGGCAATAAAAACTTCTTCCACCTTTTCCACAATACTGCTCACCTCTGCCATTGCACCTAGGCCTAAAAATAAAAAAGGAAAGCAACCTCAAATATCCTTCCAATCAATCAAACCTCTCAAATTACCAGAATTCAGAAGAAAAATCTAAGACAATCTTTCAAGTATGCTGTTGAGATATCTGATATACATTTTACTGATGATGTGCTTCTCCATTGTACCGATTACATTTCACTTACACATTGTACACACACACACACACACACACACACACACACACACACACACACACACACACACACACATTGCAAAGCATCATTCACAATCTATATCACAAATTGTACCTAATAATAAAATACTTACCGCTATCCCCACATATTAACTGCTTTGATATGCAGGGTATCACTGTACACCCTAGCTCCTCCACTGCCTGGATATGCCTTGCTGTGTGTGGATGGTCCCACATGTATGTATTCATAGCAGGAGCTACCAACAGTGGTTTATCTGTATCCCATGCTCTGATAATACATGTCTAAAAAAGAAAAAAAAGAAGAACAACTAAATTACCCTGACTATCAAAGTCTACTGGACACTTGCTGCTATTATCACATTATTATCATCATCATCATTACCAATATCATTATCATTATTTATTATCATCATCATCATTACCAATATCATTATCATTATTATGTCTTTGCTTTTCTGGTAGGGAGAAATGTAGAATGTATATCAGGTAAATTATTTACCACCCAGTGATACCTGATTTTTATAAGTGCTCTGAAGAACAGGATATTGTTGTGATTGTGAACCAGTAAGTTACGGTTGTGGGCTGTCTTGAAGAAGCGCCATCCAGGTGTCGACACACGCTGAAGAAGCGCGTGATATGAATTGACTGGCACTCGACTACGAGACACCGGACAGAACACACCTTGGGCGTCAAATCCACAATCTGCGAGTATTCCTTGACCAATACCATACCTACTTAATTATACCACTATAGCTGACATTCAGCAATAGTGCCATAGTGGATATTGATCATGGAGCGGTTGTGAGGACGTACCAGGATTCCTATAAGTGGAATATAAGGTAAGCGGTCTACGCCCCTGATCAGGGCGTGACAGCCGCCTTTATGTGTATCACTGCTAGTTAGACTGTAGTTATCACAAGAATAAGTGACTTTAGCCACTCGGGTTCACTTCATTTGGCGACAAGGAAAACCGAGCCCGTCTCCTGTTCTTTGATCAATTTTTGATGTAAGAAATTTTTAAATTCCTTTGTCTGCCGCCAAATTTGGATAGGTGGGGGGAGTGAAAGTTTATTTAACTCCACGATCCGTGTGCAGGGGTGGCAATACTTTTTATTGTCCAACATACCCTTGTGCGTCCATTTGGTGGTATATGAAAGTAATGATTTTGGTTACTAAATTTAAAGATTAAAAGGAAATTCTTTCATCTAAATTTGATTATAAAGTAATCTCACTTATTCTTGGGGATAACATGAGGCCCCCCAGACTAATTGGTAGTGATCCCCTAATATATACTGCTAGCATCTGTTTTTTAAAGGTAAGGGTTTATTTTTATAAAATTTATCTTAGAATTTACCATATTTGGAGATTTATTCAGGGTAAAGTTTCTTATTTCTTTGTTTAGGGTGAAGTTTTTCGGGGAAATTTGAATAAATTTTTGAGGGAAGGTATTTTTGGGTTTACATTTATTTTCAATTTTTTACTTAGTTTTAAGGTCAAAAGTGAACCTTTGACTTCATTTATTGTATTTCCGGCTACATTTAGCCCAAGAACAGACAGCAGTATATATTCACATTGCCCATTCCATTGTCTTTTACAAAATACCCCTCAGCCCTATTTTTGACTTTCCCCCTGACCTTCTCAGTGAATCTGAAAGTTCCGGATCACAAGAAGACAGGTCTTCNCTCCTCCACTGCCTGGATATGCCTTGCTGTGTGTGGATGGTCCCACATGTATGTATTCATAGCAGGAGCTACTAACAATGGTTTATCTGTATCCCATGCTCTGATAATACATGTCTAAAAAAAGAAAGGAAAAAAAAAAAGAAAAACAACTAAATTACCCTGACTATCAGAGTGTACTAGACACTTGCTGCTATTATCACATTATTATTATTATCATCACCATCATCATCACCAATATCATTATCATAATTATGTCTTTGCTTTTCTGGTAGGGAGAAATGTAGAATGTATATCAGGTAAATTATTTACCACCCTGTGATACCTGATTTTTATAAGTACTCTGAAGATCAGGATATGTTTTGGTGTCAGTAAATAAAGATGATAATAAGTTTTAAAATGAAATTACACTGCATTATAGTAGTAATAGAAACTGATTAATGCAGTAATTTGATATGTATGACTATAGTTCAAGAACCATTTTGAAATTGTTCAAATTGTTAGATGTCACAAAAAAAATTGAAATTAATTTTTTATCTGATGTCTTACAAGTAAATTGTCACATATTCCATTAGCCATCTTGGCTAATGTATTGGCGTCAAGTGGAGCTACAATGAGAATATCAGCCCATCGTCGAAGCTCAATATGAAGAACAGGGTCCCCACGTTTCTGCCACTGTAACAGAGACATATTGAATATAAATTTTAAGTAAATATTTGCTTACAAAGCCATATCCAAGTTCTTCAGGCTATCACTTTTTCTATTAAAACATATCTTTCAAAAATGTTTCTGAATGACAGATGGCATCAGAGATGTGGTTTTAACTCACCCTCCATTCATCAGCATCCCTATGAACTTTGACATCAACTTCATTTGGATTAAAAAAGTGACAGGCATGGTCAGTGGCAACAACCTCCACACTGACTTCACAGGTCTGAAGTAAATTAAAAACTCCACTGCATGTTTCTGAATGGATCAGACTTTTTATTTATTATTGTTAATGTAAATTCTTTCTTTTACCCAAATATAATAGCTACTGATTTGTCTTTTTAACTTGTGATTTTTGCAAGATATTTTACTGATACAGTGGTAGAGATGTAGAACGTGAATAACGTTACTGATTACTCCCCAAGTTTTGGTTGCAATATTACTCGACTTAGACACACACCATAATACTGAGATACAAACCTTCTTGTCTACGTTAGCTTGCAACGATTTAAGGCCTGTTACAAGTTTAGGTATCTTGATAGAGGCCACGCTTCCAGTGCAACCAACCAAAATGTGCAAGGGATTCCCGCGGTCCATTTCACAAAATTGTAGGCCATCCCAGGTCATCAAGGTCGAGGGAATTCCCATTGGAAATGAGGCTCATAGTCTCAAACTTAGATATGATAAAACAACTTTAGTGGATCTTTTAGACTGTTAAAAAACTGCTCAGAATAAGTGCTTTTGCTATTAAATTGCATCAAAAATTCCATTTTGTTATCTATCCTTCTTAACTTTTCACAAAAATTACTAAATGAGCTTGCCGCTATCGAGAGTACATCACATGTGCCAGCATGGCGGACGACGCAGAGGACGAAGCCGCTTCAAGAGAAGAAAATGTGCTTTACGACTTAACAATCAATGCAGAATGGCCACAAGAACCTGAAACAATAGTATGTGTGGTTTTCTAAGTTATATTTACTACTTTAATGGTTTCTTTCGACCTGCCACTTAGTTTGGAGTTGTGTTGTTTGGACATCTGCCTGTGTAATTTACAAATTCAATTTACATTGTAAACGTTTGTTTTTGGGTTCCTCGTGTTTAGGGGGACACTGCACATGCATTTTTAGGAAATGAATGTGCAAAATAAAATGCAAAACTTATGCACACTTTTCAAAGTGAAGTCACCAGCTGTAAGAGACTCAAAGAATGAATTCAGCATAATCAATGGTGGGTACTTCTGCAGCATTCGCACTCCCCACATTGCCCAGTAAGTAATTGATTTGTTACAGAGACGTTGATAAAAGTAACCATATGGCTTGAATTTTGGAAAACGTTAAAAATTTATAGGGGGATATTGCAGAATTGCTCAAGGGGGTTATCGTGATGTCTTACAAATATTAATCATGTATAATATATAATATTGCAATTTACTCCACACATATGTTGATAGAACTATTATTATTATTATTATTATTATTATGTTTTATTTTAGAGTAGAAATGTAAAGGACAAGTCTCAAGTTTCTTTCCCTAGGAGACTTGCGTCAGCAGCTCAAAGTGAGTATTTTTCACAGAATTCTGCAGTCCAGTATGTAAATTCCCTTCTGCACCATCTTTAGTTACTTCACCATGAAACTATAGTACTAGTCATAAAGGTCCAAATATTTAATGGACAAAAAAAGGAGTGCAACTTGCCATTATATTTTGAATTTATTTTGTTAGGAACAGCTTGGACATTTCTTAGAACAATAGGGATTCCAACAAGGTAAGTGTACTTGTGTACCATTATATTTTTCTTTCACTAAAATATGATTAGCTTTCATGCCAAAATCAGTTAAATGCATCAGGACACATTTTCTGTCTGTTTACTGGTAGAGCCTGCTTATTTTGTTTTCTAATATTTAAAAAGGAAGGGAGATACAATTGCTTAATGATTTATTTATTGGTTAATTAGTATGTATATTTATTATTTCAGGTCCTCTAGCCCTTGTTCACTTCCAGTTGGCTTGGTAAAGCTGATCAACAGAAAGCTTCAATGGCAAATAGCAGTATCCAGGTAATTTTTCCTATTTCTGTTTTTTTCTTTTTTTTTCTTTTTTTTTCTTTTTTTTTTTTTGTGTATGATGTGTTTATGATAAATCTCATGAACATGTTTGTCATAGTACTTTTATTCCAAATTGTCATTTTACTTTTATTGCTTCGAAGAGGTTATATGCAGTTTTCTCTTTTTTGATTTTAGTGATGGCCAACAAATAGCAGTGTTGCAGGATGCACTTATAGAAATAAGGTATTTTTTAGTTTTATTTTCTGTCTTATCTCTTGTCAAAAGATGATGTTGCAGTGATTACCTTGAGAATTTGAATAAAAAAATAGAATTAGGTCTTTGAAAAAATATACAAAATTTTTAAAATGTATGTAAAATTCACTGCAAATTGTCAATACAGAACTGCCAGGGATGCCTTCGACTCTGTGCTTGCCCGTTGTTCCATATCCAAGGACCCTCATGTTCAGTGGCGCCGCCTGTGCTGGAGTATGGATGGCACCATGCTGGCTTATGCTGACAGTCTTGGGAATTTGCATTTATTTGATGAAATGGGTGCAGAGTTGATCTACATTCCATGTGTAAGTTTTTTTTACAGAAATGGTAATTTTGTAAAATATTGTTGGCGGTGTTAATGTCCAACTGTGCCTTCACCACTTATAGAAGAATTTTTTAAAATTCGGATGAACTCTGTATTATATTATTCAGATGTTTTAAAGAGCCATCACGCACATAATGAGGTGGCTTTTAATTTGAAAAATGTGATATCTAACTTTGATATATGTTTGTATTAAGATTGTACTTATTTTGAGAATAAAAGATATTATGTATTCATACTTAAACTATCTTATTTTAGAAACTGCCAGTGAATCCTAAGCTACCAGTAGATTTGAGTAGGGCTGTTGCAGCATTAATCTTCACAGATTATGTTCCTACTTCAGAATGGTTTGTACACCTTAAACCTCTGATATAGAATAAGTTGTACTGGGTATATTATATATGTAAACAGTACAAAAATGTTGACATGAATTATATATGACATCAGCACAAGCTAAAAGCAGTTAGTGTTATTTACCTGCCAAAAGTGTTAAATTAAGTAAATGAACCTCTTTATCAGAGGAATTCTGTGATTGGAAAAACAGTTTTAGTTTACATTTTTAATCTTTTTGTTCAGGACAGCCCAGTTGATTGTTGTTAATTATCAAGGCAGTCTAAGGAGTTTATTAGTGAAGTAAGTACCATTTAAAATTAAATAAAAGATTTCTGTACTCTGAAAACATTTGGGAAATTGTATTTAAACAAGACAGTTTCAATACAAACATGATATTTTTGAACCAAATATAAGTCAATTACTTGTGTCTAGAGCCATATTATATCTTTAAATCCCGATGAATTTATATTCCAGAGTGAGCTCAATTTCTTTATTTTATTACATGATTGTAAAAACATTTTACACAATGTTTAAAATAAACACATATTTCATGTGCTGTTCCAGCGGTGACAGCAGTAAGTACAAGGAAGACCACACATTCAGCTTCAGCCATTATTACCCACGAGGTGTGGGAACTGTGGTCTATGACTCCTCTCACAAACTCCTGGTAGTTGGGGGCTGCTGCACTATGGATGAGGACAACCCCAGCTTGGCTGAGCAGCAAGGCATCACCAGGTGGCGCATTCTGTCAGGAGCACCTTACTATAAGATGGTCACAGACTATGAACAAGATATAGCTATGGTATGTTTAAAAAATAAAAATGGTGCATAGTGTTAATGAACTAAGATTTATATATATTTGTGTTTTTTTTTTTTTCTTTTTTTAAAAATGAAAATGATCTGTAGTAGAAATGTCATTTCTTTGATTTTTATTTATTTTATCATCAGATGTTGTTCCTTAAAATTTTTTTTTTCAGTTATGGTGCTTAATATTTTGTATTTTTTCCATTTCAGGCACAGAAGAAAAGAAAGTTTTTCAAGAAGCTGAAAAGTTTTCAGTTTTATGGATGGTATGGTGATATTCAGGTAAGTATATTGTAAAGATCCCTGCTGTATGGCTGCATGTGTATTTTGACATTGAATTTCTAGAATTACCTTCATACTGCCCAGATGAGTAATCAGGCCATATTTAAAAGAAGTGATGAACTCCAACCATTTTTGTTGTATGAAGTAACATTGTTGACCAATAGTTATTTTTCTACCATGACTAATTTTAAGCTGAATTCTACCTTTCATTTCTTGGCTACACATTTAACTCTTTTAAATAGAATGTATTTGACAGTGAATAAACCTGTAAGATGTTTATGTCAAATGAAAAAGTAGACCCAATAACCAGATCTTATGTAATGAGATGGAATTTAAAATTAATACATAACAAAAATTTTTTTATAAACTGATTTCTATACTTCACTTCCAGTAGTTTTAAAAGATGTCTCCTGTTTGTTTATAGGACAGTGTGTACAAGATGTGCTTGTCTCCAGATACTCAGCTTCTGGTCACTATACACCATTCTGGGCTCTTGTCACTCTGGGAATACCCATCTCTGAAGCTTAGGAGAATGTGGCCCCTGGCAGAACAGGTAAAATCATGAGTTTAAACACCTTTACAGCAAATGCACTGTACTATAATGATATTGACGTGTCTTCAGAAATGTTAAATTGAAACGAACAGTTCTCATGCTAGTTACAGGTATCTGAATTATTATGATACATAAGATCTGACAATCACCACTGTACATTCCAGCCTGGGAACGAAGAAAAGAATCCAATAATTGTGGAGAATTTGAGATTCAAGAGAGTTTCTAAAGGTAATTTTTAGATAGCTTTTAATTTGGAAAAGCCTGATAAAGCACAGAGATCTTTGCAGTGAATTTTAAAATGTACTCTCCCTTATGCAAAATTAGAGTACTTGTTAACTTTGTTTCTTATTTCAACAGATTCTACAGAACAGCCTAACTTGCTAGATGTGAACTGGTGGAGTAAGGAAGCATTGATTCTGTCCCGCTGTAGTGGGGCTGTGACAGTGTCGTCTGCTAACACACTGAGGAATCTGCTGGGGACATCTCCAGAGTGGCTGGAGCCATCACCTCAGGTTTCCAAGGCACATGATGGGGGGTTCTTGGGACTAGAGGTGAGCTTGGCTAAGATGTTGAGTTTCTTGCCTTGAAAGACAAAAATTGAGGGTGGTTGGGTGTTGAGGTGCACAAGAATGTTAACTGATTGAGACTGGTGTGGAAACTAATGCCTTCCAGGCTAATAAGTTTATTTTTAAACACAATAAGTGTCTGTAACTAGACATATTGACAACAAGTAGATAAAAAATGTCAGAAAGATGCAGGTCTCCCTTTTCATCTTAAGATGTTTTTTTAAAGTGTGAGTGTAGGTACCAGTCACTGAAGCGCCGCCTGGTGGATGATGTGGCAGAGGTAGATGATGAGTATGAAGACAGTGAAGATGAGGAGGATGCTACCATTATGACTAGAACTAAGAAGCTCATAAAGGGAACATTGTATTATGTCACAGACAATGAGAGATTTCAACCACCTAAGAAAAGACCCAAGTAAGATGTAGCATCATGTTTTATGCCATCACATTCCAAAGTTAACACAGCTGGACAAATCCTGAAACAAGCACTCTAATGCACAATGCCCCAAGACTTGACTTGGGATATTCGTAACGGACATATATTTGAGAATTGTGACTAATTTGGATATAAGTTGTTTTCTTTTATGGAATGAGAATCATTTATTACTCCAAAAAAGTGTGTGGTAAAGTCTCAGCACTCACATTTTTTCAACTGCAGGTGTGCTTTGCATATTTGTTTGTTTTTGTCAATGTTGTTTATAAATTCTGCTTTATGTCTTCTTTGCAGAATCCTGTCAAGAACATACAGACTGGTGTGTTTGAAGTCCACCACACCAGAAGAGCTGTACTCAAGAAAGGTAGAGTATTGGTACACTTTATATAACAAAATTAGATTCATCTACATATTACATGTTATACATGTCAATTATGGTTGATTGAATTAAAACGCTTTTGAAGGACTTGTAACTATGGGTGTAAAAACATTACTTTCAGCACAGTGTTTTGGTGAATACAAAACTAAATCATTCACCTTTGTCTTTGATGAAGTCACTCCTATGTAGAGAATAATGGCTGGGTAAAGCCAGTAATAAGGTACTCTCATTAAAATGTAGCCAAGGGCTATTTCATTCCAAGAGCACAGGTAGGCAATTATCTTGTGAACATGTGACCTCTCCACTCACATACGCTGCTCATAGTCATTCACTAACCACACCTCATAGGAGCTAGACAGGACTTTTATATCTGAGGTAAATTTGACTTTATTTCTTTCAGTTTGTTTATATGTTTATATCACATTTGACATTATTTGTTAGTTCTGCATTCTATATAAAAATCTTCACAACATAATTATTTATAATTTCAGCCATCATTGATTCCGGGGAATAAAATTGGAGAATCAAATAGTGTCTATCTTATTTACTTTGGTATTCTTGAAAACATTTCATAATAGTCACACTTGATGCATTGTAAGCTACTTTTTAGATTGATAATGAGGAGTATGGAGAGGCCCTGGCCCTGGCTCAAGCATATGGTCTGGACTGTGACCTGGTGTATCAGAGACAGTGGAGAAGAACTGATGTGTCTGTGGCCTCCATACAGGACTACCTGGTATGTGGATTTTTTTTACTAGTTTGATAATTTCTTCAAAGTGAAGTTTAAAAAATCCATTTCACAGATATCTGTAGGTTATGACAATGAATGATGTATACGTTGTTAAGCTGGTAATTGTCTAGTTTTTCCAAATAATTTTTCTCAAAAGTTCTTATTTGATTTTTCATTGATATCACCATGATTGGATTATTTATTGCACTAGAGCAAGATTAGCAAGAGAGCTTGGGTCTTGCATGAGTGTTTGGAACGTGTTCCTCAAGACATTGATGCCATGAAAGCATTGCTGGAATACGGACTGAGAGGAACAGATTTAGAGGCACTTTTGGCTATAGGAAAAGGCGAAGATGGTGGAAGGTTGGTTCTATTTGTAGATAAAATTATCATGCATGTGTCATTCTCTGTAGTTTTTATGATTCAATCAGAAGACTACAATCTCAATGTCACAAAAGGATTTTATCAAATTTTTATCTGCTTTTTTATCTGCTTTTTTATTTTAGGTTCATTTTGTGTGATAGTGATCACATGTTACCACTGGAAGAAAGTTATGATGACATAGAAACAGAGGAAAGGGTCAAACAAGAGGCTCAGAGAAAACGAAGAGAAGAATTGCTGAAACAAGTAGATTTTACAACGTAAATGTCCAATATTTGTGTGTTACTGTAGAGTCTGAGTTAGTCTTGGTGTATTTACTGCTAAGTTTGGATGTAACTGTGATATTGTATGACCTCATAAGCTGAATATGTTTAATTTTTTTTCGAGCAATTACATGGCTAATGGTAACATGGAATTCTAACAAAAAATAAGTATAGAAATACTTTTAACATATTAATTGTTTATTAGTTTTAACTTAAAGGGTTTAAAATGAGAAATGGAAATTTGAAGAAATAGAAAAAAATGTTTATGTGCTACTTTATGTAATATTTTTAGTTTGAACTTGGAACAGAAAGAGCTTTGTCGAGCTCGCCTGAAGCTGTTGCAGTATTTGTACCGCCTGAGTACTTATGAAGAGATTCTTGGGGGCCCACATCAAGCTGAGCAGCATTTTGATTACACCTTCTTCCAGAAATTCCGTAGTCAGAATATTGTTGAGATAGCGGCTGACTATGCTAGGGTAAGTTAAGTCATCTTAAAATTTTTAATTTAAATAATGAGAGATATTGTTTTACATCCAGCCACCTTTGATAAAAAGTCACATTAGAAACTGATTTAATCAGCAGCATGAACTGGTTTTAGTTTGACTTTTCCTCATTTTTCTGTTCAAGAAGGGTCAACTACATGAAGTGCAGTTGATTGTCATTTGTTTTTACAGGCTACTGATAAAGAATCTTTACATATCATCTTGACCTATCACGGAGTAGATACCCTGCCACATAGGTGAGACATTGCCATGAATACATACATCTTAAGGTTGCAGAAGGAATTCATTAAAAAAGATACCTCAATATTAAGAGAACAGAATCTGTAAAATTTATAAAAAGTTTTTTTCTGTTCAGCTCTAAATAGCAGCCAGAAGAAAGAGATGTCGATAAGACTTAGTCAAGAATTGCTTATTATTTGAGTTTGTTTGCATGTTGTAGTCTACATTTACATGTTTCACGATTTTAGGTTGGCAATTTTATCCAATTTCCCAGAGACGTCATCACCTCATGACTATGCTGAGTTGTTGCCTGTGGTGAGGTAGGTCAGAGGTCATGGTAAAACATTGCGTTAAGGTACTAGATTCCATGGTAAATTTCTTTTCATCAAGCGGCATGAATTAATTGAAGCATGGTTTATTGCTGAAGTTAAATAGTCAAGTATTCAGAATCAAAGAATACAGACATCGTTGAAACAGAGCTGACCCTGTTCTGCATCTTATACTGCAGGATAGTTTGCCATATGACACATGTGAACAAGCCATTTCTATAAGTGTTATTTACAGATAAGTAAAGGATGCCTATTTGTTTGAAGATGTCTTTATTTTGTTCGGCACATATTTTTGCCTGAGATATTGTAAATGACACAGGATATAACCGAGGCCATTTTCTTATAATTTTAAGTAATGTCGAGGGAGAGCCAGAGGTGGAACAATGGCCGCAGCATGAATGGAGGGATCAAGACTGGGTAGAGTCAGATGCATGCAGGTATGGTGTTGAATTTTAAAGACACTGTATGTGGGGAGTTCTTGTGTGAAAAATGCAGTTTGTTAAAGAAAAAATAAATGCTTGTACATACCAATTATCATTTTATGAAGTTTCAAACAAGATTGATTTAAATTTTTTCATTTAGTAGAAGTTGAGTTAATGGTTGCTCTGTATGATTTTTTGATGTGATTTAATTTTTGCTTAGGAAATGAGCACAGGCATAAAATTTTTAAATAGAAATTTAAAGTCTTTTTAGCTTCTTGGTTTTCTTACTTATAACTTTTGTTGTGTTTTTGTCATGTGCAAAGATCATCAGTAAGAGATAATAAGATACAGACTAATGCATTTGTGGTAAATGTGTTCATGTTAATTTTAAAAAGATTATTAGTTATTGTGAAATATTTGAATGAATGAATTCAACTTAGACCCAACATAGACCCTGTGCTAGAGGACCCAGGAGCTTTTCTATATGAAGACAATCTGGACCTGGAAAGATTCAGGTAAGTTCAAAGTCCAATTTAAGCTAAAGATTGCTAAATGAGAACAAATATTTAAGTGTGTCAGGAAAAAATATGATAATAGATAAATGTGATTGATATTGTTTTTGTTCAAAGTGTTAATTGATAAAAATATATTATTTCAGGGGAGAACAACTGACCAAGGGTCAGGTGAGAGACTGGTATGCATATAGAGCTTGTGAGATTGAAAGGTGGTCAAGACTGGTGGACAATGCCCTGGAGATGGTCAATCAGGCCATGGAGAGAAATGTGGAGGTAAACTGACCACTGTATATAACATATGTAGTTATAAGATGGGATACTTTCATATTTAGTTTAATTTCATGTTGAGTATATTTTATCATTTTCAGCAGGGGTTATGCTATCATATTTGTAGACTGATGATAAATGTAAAAAAAAACAGTTTACTTTTTTGCAGTTTATTTGGCTTATGAATTGTCCTTTCCATTTGGCACAAATTTGTTGTACTAGCTTAAGACCAGTTTTGTATTCATGTAATGTTTGTTTTAGCACTAATAAGATGTAAAAGTTATTCATTAAAAAATTATTATAGTGTTTTGATCAAGCTTATATCCATAACAAAATAGATTTCTTTTCATTTTAGGGTTTGGAAAATCTCCATGATGATCTCAAAAACTTAGAGCTGTTGGTTTATGATGCCCATGTGGATGACAGTGTGACATTTGACCAGTTCAAGAAGATGACTGACATTGAGAAACTGAGACTACTTATGTCTAAGGTAAGCTGATATTAGTGTATCAATATTATACATCACCCCTTAAATAGAAAAATGCAGAAGTTTTGCACCATACATATCCAGAAACTGCAATCATTGGTTATCTTTCATTTTAGTCCTCAGAAGAAATGTATGAAAAGAACTTAAAGAAATGGATGCTGCCGTTTTTGAAGAGATGTGATAGACAAAAACCAGGCTCAACAAGAGAGTTGTTGGAAGATTATCTTGTCACTATGGCGAAAGATGATCTCACTCTCTGCCAAAAAGTCTTCAGAAGTTCTATGGCTCATGTAAGTGATGCGAGGATCACTAAAACTCTTCCTCTTCATGAATTACTGTTAGACTTATTATAGTTACAAAGTCTTTGTATTTCTTATAATGCATATCATAAAGATCCCCACCTCATACTGAAACAACATGTATCTTAAAGTTGAAGAATTGTGAAGAACAGTGAAAGTTTTCAGTATTATGCTTGATTTCAGAATATTCAGTCTTCATTTAGATAATTTTTTCACATGATCTGATTGCAATGAGAAATTGCAAGCTATGTTTTCCAGATTTTCAGTTTTTACAACTTTCACCCAAGTAATGATAAAAGGTTAGATAACATTTGTGATAGTATGAGAACTTGATTTATCTTGCAGCATGAGACCCCAATCATCTCAGAGGATGAAGAACTTCTGACAGTGGCACTGAAGTGTATCTACTCGTGTGAGAGGTGGGTGTACCTGTGATGTATGTTTTAGTATTGGGGTGACATCAGCTATTTACGTTGCTGACCCCTTATTTAAGTGTGTGTTAAATTTTGATGACACTTACGAGAATGGAAACTTGGTCTGAGAGATGATAATCAAGGAAAAATGTAAGAAAACGCCCTTGGTGGCTGAGATAAAACAATTGTCATATTTAAAATGTGAAGCCTTGTTCTTTTCCTTTTCGTACAATGCAGGATTAATAAAATCTTACAATACTGTTGTATTACCATATTATTCTGTCCATTGTTTCAGCAAAATAATACATAGCACTTTTTTCTTGTTTAATAATCTATTGTATGTTTGGTAGAATAAATTGTGGTATTGATCTTTATTATTATTATTATTATTATTATTATTATTATTATTATTATTATTATTATTATTATTATTATTATTATTATTATTATTACACCTATTGTTCAAGAGATTATAAACGTATATTCGTGTGTGAGAGAGAGAGAATGTGTGTAAGAGAGAGAGAGAGTGTGCATTTACCATACTTAGGTATATGTACATTCCTGTACTGAAATTTTTCAATTTAAAATAAAAAAAATAATAAAATTATTCTGTCCATAGAAGTGACCAACGGTTGCTAGCAGTTGGAATCTTGGAATGTTTGCCAGCAAGGGGCTCTGGGTAAGTAGACAGATGATTGTTTTGGTGGTCTTAAGGGGATATGGGATGATGATTTATTAGAATATTTTCTTGTTGAAACAGTTTTTTAACTTTGGTTTATCAATTGTTTATAACATAACAGAGAGATTGACAATGTCTTCTATATTGTGTAATTTATGTTATTGTTTATTACTATTATTATTTCAGTAAATTGTCAAGTAAAATGAACAAAATTCACGATGAAGTTGACATGATGGAGAGGGATCTAAGGTAAGAGTTTTGCTTTGTCTGATGCTTTGTTATAATGTTGTGAGTGAGCACTATTTATATTTGTGATTCCTGTGGCACCTGTACACCAGGTATCACATGTTACTTGTGTGTTTCTTTAAATAGTGGTGTTATTAGACAATAATACAAAGTGCTTGTATTGTTAGTAGTATAGCAGTACTTTGGCATAATATGATAAGGTTTGTGCTCTGAAGCTTAGATTTCAGGGCCATGGTGTATTACACATTTTTAAAGGTAGGCTAGATAGTTATTCCTTACAAAACATAATTCTGGGTCTTACATATTAATTTTTTGTCATAGTGAAACTTTTTAGGAACATTTTCATGCTGTTTTCAACACTGCCCTTTGATTTGCATTTCTAGTGCTGCAGAGATCTTGGAAAGAAATAACTTACCTAAAACCATGTCATATATCAAGTCCTCACAACAAGATGTAGAGGAAACCAAGAATCTTCTCACAAAGCTCACCAGAATTGCAGGAAGAAAGTGAGTTAGTGACTTAAAGGCAGCAAATACTTCCAGTGTTTCGTGAAGACCCCAAATTACTTTACATTTTTCATTTTAGTAATCTTATTGAAACCGATAAAAAGATATTTTGATGCCAGAGGCAAAGGAAAAAAAACAAACTATTCAACTTGAACATAAAAAGATGTACGTGAAACAAAGAGTTTGAAGATATAAAGAACAGCATTGAAAAATTCTTATCCTACACTTATTGAAATGAAGTTTTGAATTGAAATAACTTTCTTTTTCAATAGAACCCCTCGCCTAACAGAAATAGATTGGAAAAAACTTCTGCAGGATGTACTTGAACTGCAGTCCAGAGTGTATGGCTGTGTAAGCAGGGACACTTGTTATGAGGTGAATTTCGGGGGAGATTGTTGTAATTTGAAAAGAATCAAGTTTCTTTCACTTTTAATTCTCTGGCATTCATTTTCTGTTTGACTTTATCATTTTAAGGAACAACGTAAAATGTGCCTCTTCAAAGAAAATTGTTTAAGTTTAGAAAAGAAATTTGGAATGAATAATTTATTTACAATTATTTTAAAAACACAAACATTCATTTAAGTTCAAGTGCAGAATCCAGTACAGATGTTTTAACAGAAAATTATGTCTCCTCTGTCACGCAATTTTTACTTCAACTATTTGTGGACATTCATTTCAGATATTCGTCGAGAGTCTGCTGTGTTCCAGTCACCAAGGCAACATCCACCTGGCAGGCCAGTACCTGGAGAAGAGTGCCGATGAACATGCCTCCCCCAGGCCCAGTGCTCCACAGACCATGTCCCAGTACAAGCTCCCATACAAAACTGCCATAGAGCTGGTCCTGCAGGCTGCCAGGGAGTACTTTGACTCCTCGGCTAGTTTGAGAGATGAATGCATGGATCTGGCTAGGTTGGTTTACAGTGGCATGGTTGAACTTAGATTTGGTTCTGGTCGGTTTTGAATTGAAGCTGGTCTGGTCTAAAATGCCTTGTTATATTATCAAATTATGAAGTAAAGGTTTGTCATTGGGGTCTTTTTGACTTCAACTTTCCTGGTCAGGAAGATATATGTTAATATGTAATTATGCAGTAGGTAAAAAAAGTCGAATGTAATCAGGTGTGAGAGATTTTGACTTTTGACTGACTCAAATTAAAATGATTTCTTGACATTCTTTATCCATGCTCATCCTGTGCATTCTGGTAGTACCCAAGGTTTCCATTTTGTATCCTACTAACTTAAACTTTAATCCAGAATTATTGTGAAAGAAATGTTTTACTTTCTAATGTTTTTTAGATCTTGCCTAAGCCTAATAGGGGACAGGCCACCCAGCATTCAGGAGGATTTAGACCTTATTGCTGCCATCGATCTATTGAATGATCTGGAAGTTGCTGCTTTACCTTTACAAGGTAAAACTATCTAAGCACAACACATTATACCTAATGCAAGTTATGGTTCAGTCAGGTTATTTTTATTTATAAGCAAATTGATAATTTTTTGTTTGATATGGAAGATTAGTTTTATTTTTGTTAAGAGGATTTTCTGCTTTTGCTTAATGGTACTGGTAGTATATTGACATAGTTTCTTTCATTAACAGTGCGACTATGTAAAGAGAGACTAGAGTTTGTAGAGAAAGCAATTCAAAAGAAACCAACAACTTACAAGAATTATAACAAGGTGAGTTAAAAATTCTAAAACATCTTGCAATGAATGTCATGTCATAAACACAAGGATGTCATTAAGGCTGGTCAATTTTAGTATATGTAAAAATTCAAAATTTTGTAAATTCTTAGTTTAAGGGTGGAATCTCAAGTCCCATGGGGTGAAAATTGGGGTGGAGGGAGGCAGACTTAGCATGGAATGCTTGCAATCATGCCACCATGTCACTGTCACACATACCAATGTGATATATACCAGTCAATCACTGTCAGCAGACTTACTCATTTTTTGGGCTGAGATTTGAAAAAAATAATGACTTTTGTGTGGATGCCATGCAGTCAAACACCATTCTCTTCTATGAAAAAAGTGCGTGGAAGGTTAATGTTGATATGGACATATTTGTGTTGTAGTTACTGAAGCTGGGATCATTGTTGAGGGTATCTGGGAGAGACAAGGCAGAAAAAGAGGGCCGAGTGTTGAGACTGGTGACACAGGCTGCTCTCAGGGTAAGGGACATCTGCATGGTTATAACTTCTTCTTTCAATTTATTTTGTAAATCTGAGTGTTTCTTTTATTTTTTATAATAATACATTATGTAAGGAAAATATTGTCAAATTTTTTCTTTCAATTTATTTTGTAAATCTGAGTGTTTCTTTTATTTTTTATAATAATACATTATGTAAGGAAAATATTGTCAAATTGTTTCTGGAAAACAAGCAGACCATAATTACAGAAAAGGTGATGTTATGATGTATTAGTTGGTAAATAACATGGAAGAATGGACTTGGAAATTATTGGCAACAGTTACAGTGGAAAGACAGAATTGATAAGATTCACTGACCAGGTGATGTTTCACAATTTGGAGATAAAAGACATTAGGCAGAGGTGAAGAGTACCAAACAAGAAACTTTATCTTAAGGTTTGATATAGAACAGACCAAAAAGTAATGAATCCCAATGTATTTTATAGCTGAGATTCTCGTATTGTTTTTTCAGGACAAGGACTTCAAGCTAGCCCATCAGTTATGTATTTTATAGCTGAGATTCTCGTATTGTTTTTTCAGGACAAGGACTTCAAGCTAGTCCATCAGTTATGTATTTTATAGCTGAGATTCTCGTATTGTTTTTTCAGGACAAGGACTTCAAGCTAGCCCATCAGTTATGTATTTTATAGCTGAGATTCTCGTATTGTTTTTTTCAGGACAAGGACTTCAAGCTAGCCCATCAGTTATGTATTTTATAGCTGACATTCACGAAATTTTTTTTCAGGACAAAGACTTCAAGCTAGCCCATCAGTTATGCCGTAGAATGATGGAGAGTGGGTATGCTGCCATATGGACAGAGTGTAAAGCTCTGGCTGAGGCTGAAGAATTTCAGGATATTAGTGCAAAGTAAGCTCACAGTTGAAAGTGTGTGTGGATGTATGTGTGAAAATGGCAACATTTTGGAAATATATTTTGGAAGCTGAAAGTAATTTGAAGTGTTAATTTTACCAGGACCTAAGGTACCTCTGGCTAGGATATTGCATTCTATTATATTTCTATTATTTCATACATGGTGAAGTAAGAATTCTGTTTAGTGGTTGGCGAAAAGTAATACTTTTCAAATTTCAGAGCTGAGTTGCTGTCCTTTGCAGTAACTCACTGTTCAGCAGATATGATAGAACCTATCCTCAGAGCCAAGTGTCTGCTAGAAACCAAGGTATGTGTCCATTCTTGTTATTTCACTGCTAGGACACCATTTCATTTTATTCATATCTAAATGCTGGTTAATATGAACATTCAAAATTTTGAAAAAAATCTGAATTTGGCTTATTGGGAAACTGTGCACTTTCTTCTGACCATAAAATGTGTTTCATACCTGGATGTTTTATCCGCAGATATTATATGATACCATTCAAACCCAAACGCACCAAGAAACAGATTCCAACAAGGGTACCAAGGCAACAAACCACAGTCCGTTTTCGGCCAGAGGGGCCTTGCAACAAACTAGAGAGATCCTGACCTCCACCAGTAAAACCACCAAGAGCCTCCTGACCACCTTCAGTGACAAGCAATGGTGGAAAAGTACCCTGAAGAACCTTGACCCTCAGGGTGGGCCGAGCAGGGAGATGGCACAGGAAGTCAGGAATGCCAGGATGGAAAAGCAAGGCTATCATCCGTTCTATGAAGATTGCATTGAGAATGGGCATTGTGATATAGTAAGTTGGTGTTTGTCACTTCACATGATGTATTCTTAGGAATATTTTCTAATTTGTGAATGAACAGTTAATTTTTCTATGACAATGGATTTTAAGTTGCAGATATTGTTGCAAGAATAAAGCTGCTGTTCGATTTATGATGTAAGTGTTGTTCACTTTGATTTGTTGTCCCCGTCAATCAGTTGACAGATATTTTGAAATCACATGATAGAAAAAGATACTTAAATTTTTCAGAATGCCTTCAATTATAAGCAGTTTAGCATGCCAAAGGATAACAATCCAACAACGGAACTGAGTGAGATATTACTGAGGACTGCCAAGCTGGAGGAGACTTTGACAGAAGGAGCTGTTGTTAAATCTTCAAGAGAAGGTAGAGACAAAATCAATAGGAATAAAGTATATGTAGAACCCTAGCAGTTGGACACAGAAATACCTTTTTTTGTAACAAGCTTGATTGTTAACTGTGAAGACTCTGGTATTTAAAGTACTTCTGTTCATACTGGGTGATACATGTTGTATTCTGCTTCCAGTATTGTTAAAACTTGCCAAGGATGCCATGTCAGAAGATGCAGCATTAGGCTTAGCCTATTTATTTGCTTTGTCAGAGGTAAGTAACTATGGTTTGGATAAAGGAGATTGTCCTTTATGATATCTATTTCTTTTTTTAATGTAGACATTACTCCATTTTGTCAAAGGATGCACTGCATATATATAGAAATTGTGGTAGGTGTATATTTTCAGCTTAGCTGCGTGTTATTATTGCCACCAGATGTCAAACAAGAAAGACGCCGGTTTATAGGTATAAGCTGTAACCATAAAAGGCACTGGCAGAATAAAACTTTAGTATAATTTCAAGTTTTTTAAAAATATATTTTACTGAGATACAGACCAAGTTTTTTAACTGCAACTGAGAATTCTGCAACTGCTTTATCAACAGCAGTTAAAGGTACTCTAACAACTCTACTTTTCGTTTTTTTTTTCACAAACATTGTTTCTCAATTTTCAGATCACTGATGCTGACAAGTGTTTCACCAGCCTTCCCCAAACGGCCATATCTCTTCAACTGGCCACGTACTACTACGCCTTACAGACATATACCAAGGTCCAGCAGGCACAGGGGGACATTGCTGACCAGAGTCCAGTTTACCACCAGCTGCCCAGTGAGGTGGTCAGTAACGCGGTCAATTTTTTCAATACATACCAGGGATCTGAGCCTCTTAAAGCTGAGGTGCATGAGCTGGGAAAGAAGTTGAAGAGTTACAATGAGCTGCTGGAGGATTATGTACAAGCTCAGACTTTGAAAGAACTTGGTAGAGGTAAGTTTTGAATATCTTCTGTATTTCACAATGTAACATTTTCATTCTTTGTGCCTTAATATTTTTTCCTTCTATATTCCAATTTTAGTTTGTGTTGGCAGTGCTGTCTGTACATTTTGAGAGCATAAGCAAAAGTGTTTGAATAATTTTAACAGTCTAAAATATATTCCTGCATTTACCAAGTGGCCTGAATGTTTTGATTGGTGAAAGCATAATACTTAATTGACCATAATTTTCAGGGGTTGATGTAACTCGTTTTACAAAAGATAATGAGTACAAACAAGAGACAATCCTAGGACTTGCTATGTAAGTATGAAGATATTTATTTGAAAAAAGGCATTAAAGCATCCTCTTGGTTCTGGGTTGTTTGCAAAAAATATGCCAAAGATTGTTAGATGTGAACTTTTGAAGCTTTTATTAAGGAATAAGAATAAGAAGTAAACATGATCTTATGGACATATTAAAAAAAAACAATTAACATAAGCAGAGATCTGTGTACTTTATGGAGTTAACATATAATTGGCCTATAGTTGTATTTATTTGTTAAGTGTCATTAAATGACATAAGCGTTATCCCATAATACACATCCCACAAACTTACAGTGTGTGTAATGTTTCAGGTCACTTGAGCACAATGTGTACCAGCTGGCAGTGTCTCTGGCACAGAAGTATGACATTCCATTATGGGAGGTGTACATGACACACTTGGAATTTCTTTTTACTGATAGTGGGTGAGTTTATAATTGTTATTACTGGAAAATAAATATTTTGTTTGGACATTTACTTGAAATTTTTTGGATGATTTCATAAAATGAAGAATCAAAAAGCATAAAACAACTTTTGAATTTTTGGGGAAATTTTTTAGCATTTTGTATGCAGCTGTAAATTTACTAGGTTTGTGTTTGTTGTGTATGTAGTAAATAATGCACTGTCCACGATAGCATGCCGAGCACGTCGTGTATATTGGGCGAGGGGGTAACAGTACATTATTTGTCATACATACAAAAGGAAATTGTGCGTGTTCCCCACCCAAACCCCCTAACTTTGAATAGAACACGCTGATATCACTGCGCATGGGGTGATATCAAAGAATGGACTTTCCCCGCGTTTACTGCCTAATTGCGGTCACCGTCCAATCATTTTCATTTGCGTGAATGATTTGTGGTTGCATGTGTTTTGACAGGGACATAGGTCAGTGGTTTTCTGTGAGTAGTTGGCCGATTTCCTGCCCATCTTTCGCACGTGGCAATCACTCCGTCTCATTCATTGTATCGGTTCCTGCAATCCTTTTGTTTTGATATCAGCCCCATGATATGTATACTGTAATACATTAGGAAACTGTATATACATAATGTTCTTTTTTTTTTCAGACTAAGCACACATGACCTAGAACATGAAGTGCAGACAAAAAGCATTCTTGCTGTTCTTGTGTCCAAACCTGTAGAGTTTCTTGAGAGAATGCAGACATATGTGTACCCTAGTATCAGGGGTTCAGATCATGCCAGGCTGCTGTGTTATTACACTATGCTCTCAGGGTGTAGTGGAGAGGAGGCCATGACACCTGAAGTACACGTAAAGCTGTTGAAAAAGATCAAGCCTGCCGCTCCAGGTAAACTACAGCATTTGGTTTCATTGCTTTCTATATCGTAATAGTTCTGCTATTTCACATATATTAAAGGCATTGACTCACATCACTTATATAATGGTGCTTCTGGCATAATGCAAAAAAAAAAAAAAGAAAAGAAAAGAAACTGAGAAATAACTGAAATCTCAAATAATTGAAGTCTTTAATGAAATCAGTATGTTGAAGTTTTTAATAGATTTACATTTTTCCAATTTTACTTTTGGAAAGGGAGTAGTTCACTATTTTAATTCCAGGTCTTGATTACAAGAAGTTAATGGATGGCAACCAGAAGCCCCTGGAGATCATCAAACCCATTCTGACCAGTAGCAATGTCCATGTCATTGCTAAACTGGCTGCAAAGATCCCTAACCAGGTAATGCATTTGTATTTATTGGAATATTACTGATTAATTACGTTGCTCTTCAGGTCTATGGACCAATTGAGTGGAACGATCTCCCTATTTATTTAAAAACAATAGAGTCCGTGGACAATTTTAAAAAAGAATTAAAAACTTATATTTTCAAAAAGTTTTATAATTGATTTGACTGGCTGTTATCTTTTACACTGTACTGTTTATTTTTAATATCTTATCAATTTAATTACATTTTAGTTCACGTCTTTAGTTCATGTCTTATTATTTAAACTACCTTTTCATTTTACCTATGTAAAGTCTACTGAGCATTTTATATGGATTTTAGACTATAAATAAATATTATTATATTATTATTATTATTATTATTAAAGATTTGTTTTACTTCTAAATACCTTGCCATGTGTGTTGTAATATGAAAAGTTATTTAAACACAAGCAAATAACTTTTAGATATTCAGTGCCTTTGTGGAGAGAATTCCCAATAATGTAAGCAAAATTTTATTGAATACAGAATTTTTGAAGTTGCTTTTTTTTCCCCTTCTGTCCTAAGGCTGGTGGTTACCTGCAGCCCAGTGTTGTATTTTGTGCCTGGGCCATCAAGCTGTTCTGGGAGGGTGATCAGAATGCCAAGAAACTGCCCGAGAGTAAGGTAAAGAAAAATTATATTTTGAAAAAATGTTAGAATAAAAAAGACATTACAAAAATGTAAATGTTCAAATGGTTGTATTCTGCTTTTATGAAGAAGAAGTTATGGTTATTATGTATATCATCATGGAAACATGTTATTTTACAATCTCACAACTTTGACATCTGATTTGCAGGCAGAGTGGCTTCACAGGTATGAGTCTTGCAGCCAGTATCTTGAAAAGATGTCACCAGAAGATGCCATAGAGTTCATCTGTGGTATTTCATTTGTGGAAACTGCTGTGGAACAAGTAAGTCAACATTTTAATTATTATTGAATAGAAACTGTTTTGCTTAAATATCAATATTCAATCAAGGAAACTACAGATCGCTGTGGTTAAAATGTTTGGTTTGTAAACTGCCATGCAGATTTTGACTCCTAATAGAACTTTAACTTCATTTTGAAAGTTACATGACAGTAATTTATGGGCATGAATGAATTGTTTTATTGTAACTTTTAAGTAAAATATGTCATGTTGGAGTTAATGTTGATGTGTTAAGTTCACAATTCAGAAATGCTGATTCACATTTTGATGTTTTTTATCTTCAGCTATCATTTGAATGCAGGCAAGAAATTGTGAGGAGGGGATTAAAATTTTGCCGACAGGAAGGAGGGAAGAAGAAAAAGATGGATGATTCTGGGTAATAACATTAGTTTTTAATGAAAAACATAATAGAGCAGAAACATTTTGATGAAGGGTATCTTTTAATTTATTAAGTTATTCATATAATTATTTTTTACTTATTATTTAGTAATTCATCATTTATATGAATGCATATTTTTTACTTAAGGTGTGAAATTACATGGACAAATGCCATTGATAGCATGCAGGTGTTATTAAACCACTTGGACCTGCTGACCACCGAGACTTTCACTGCACTAAGGCAGGCTGAGGATGAGGAAATACAGAGCTATGCCAAGTTGTTTGATCTTTCCAGAGGTGATGAAGTTAAGGTAAGAATGTGGTAGTCTCATGTGCCTTAGTAGTCCAAAGCTTCTTTGATCCAAAGGTACTTTAGTCCATGGGTTTATTTGTAAGAATCTTTTTCAGTGCAGAGGCTCATTTGACTGAAAGCTCATTGGACCAAAAGCTCTCTAATATTGTTCTTTGTTTTGCTTTTGAGTGGTAAGTGCAACCAGGGAATTGGAGTTTTTCATCAGTAATGTTGTTTAAATGCAATATATCTTAAATTAAGTTTTAAACCATTGAAACATTGGGCTGTCATGCACCCATAGTCTCAAATGAGGTACAAGGTTTGTAATATGTGTTTGTGAGTGTTTGTATGCAATGCAATGTTTTTTTCAGTCACCTGATATTTATTTGAAGAATATTTATAACATGAATAGCAGCTAGATGGCAGTGTTATTTTTCTGTGTTTGAATGACAGTGTACTTGGATTACATTACTTTTTTTTTTTTTTTCATTCTCTTGTATATAAAATATTGGTTCCCATAGCAAAATGTCCTTTTATTTGGACCCTTTTTGTTTAGTGATGTTTCATTTTCTGCAGTGTATAATTGATTTTCTGTTCTGTGACATTACCAGTGTTTTCAATATGCAAAAGTAAACATATTAACACACAAATTTATAATACCTTTCTTTGCAGCTTCAAGAATTGCTGGTCAAGATTCTGCTGGATGGTCAGCCTATTGAAATGGTGGAAGATTTGCTCGCTGTGACCAGTATAGGCAACTGGACAGTCAACACAGCTGTAGTGGAAGCACTGGCAGTTATTACTGATTCTTACAGGTAAAGACCTTTGTACATTCCCAGCTTTGAAAGTTCATTGCATATTATCATATGCTGTATATGAAACTGTGCAAAGTTCAGCAGCAACATGTGTTTGTTACTCTACAACATTTTTCATCCCTTGCTGCCACCCTTTCATATTGCTTTGCCATGGCCGGGTACAGAATCCTACAGTATTATTTTACAAAATTGTGAAATCTTTTCAGTGCCTAGACATTAATTTTATGTCTCTGAAAATTCTTCTTTGGAGCCCTTTTACCTATATTTCCTTTTATGTCTCCTTGATCGAAAAAGTTCAATACGATGTCGGTAAAAAGATGCATTAAAGTGACAAACACAAGTATGATGTTCGAAGCTTTTATTGTGAATCCTTCTAATAAAATGAAATTAAGTAATTTTTTGATGCTAAAATTAAATAATTGTGACTGTGCCAAAATACGTAGTTTTTATGCCTGAAAAGACTATTTGATATATAATTCCCAAACAACATAGTGCATACGTTTTAATTTGTGGGGTTGCAAAGAGGCCAAACTTCCCTTTTTCTGTCAGGAATCCAGACACAGCCAATGTTATGCTAGAGGGGAAAGAGGGCCTGGAGGTGCTGAAGTCTTTAGTCGTTCAAGTCAGTGAACACCACAAACATGGGTAAGAAGACTCCATTTCTGCATTTAAATACATTTTTAATTTACTCCTGCAAAATATTTTTTCAGACTATATATATTAACTTGCTGAAAAACAGGATCAGATACGGATTAGTTATATTTATTGTAAGAGATCATAAAATTTATTTATTTTAATTTTTATCAGGGGAGAGCTTGTAAATCCAGAGGATATTATTAACCTCTTGCGTCCATTTTGTGCAGATGCAATTGTTCCTGTGGAGCCAAGACTAGATGTCCTGCAAATACTGGAGCAAGTATGTAATGTAACATGAGGATTATCATGGAAAAAAATCAGTCAATGTTATGAAATAATGTAAAAGGAGTTTTAAATAAAAAAATTGTATGGTGTGCTGATTAATTTATCCCAATAAAAGGATTTATGCAAAATAGAAAGTTTGAATGATGTTATGTAAATTGTCAGCAACATGAAATCAAAACCATGTAGAGGTAATTTTATTGAGATATAAGTAACATGAAAGATAGCACATACATTAGAAAATAGTGGGTTAGGATGACAAAATATTTTTCAGTGCTTTGATTTGACTGATAACGACCTAGTCCTATTGGTGCTATACAGAACTGATGCCATTGTATCTACAGCTTGGGAAGACAAGAAGGTAAGCAATAACATGAAATGATCATAACATCTCTCTAAATTCCAAGTCCTTTCATTGTATTTTAAGACTTTTTTTCAGTTTTAAGTGTTTTTTAAAATATTTTTGTATCAGTAAGTATTTTTCTAAAATATTTTGGTAGGTAGTTTTCTGGATTCTTGTGGATACATTTTGTCTTGTTTTTTTCCAGCTGACAGAGGCAGACATTAACTGTGACAGTAGCAGACAGGAGTTGTTCAATTCACTTCTGGGCTGCAGTGCAAACATGGCACAATATCTGGCTCTCAGTAAAATGCTCCGTGTGTGGCCCCTGCTCAGTAGCCTCAAAACCAGGTAGTACTTGGAAGATATAGTTGATTACTCATAGTAGCTTATCTGTCATGCATACTTGCACACATGCACACATGCAGCCATGCATCCATAATCACATACATGCATTTGAATGCACTCAGTGACATTTGGTTGTACTTCCAGGCACACGGTAAATTATAAATATGATTGACCTCATACCTACAGTTTTCAATTTGAGATATTATATTGTATTGTATTTATGTTGAGATATTATATATTTTATATTATATTATATTTTTATAATTCTGTTCTTTGATGAATAATTAGTAAGTTAATTAATTAGAAATATGTATGCACTCTAGTTCAGAAGATCCCGCCAACCATCCTCTTGCCAAACTGTGCTGCGCTATGGTGGAGTGTTGTAATCAAGAAGGTGCTGAAGCAGTGTTGCGGATATGCAAGGATACTATAGCCATTATGCCACTTAGTGTGAAGGTAGGGAAACTGAACGTATGCTTTTATGAATTTTAAACTCCTGCCTGATTTGAAATGAATTTTTTTCCTGACCTGTGACATTTTTCTTAGTTCTGTGAAAGAGTTGATTGCAAACTGTTCTTTTTTAAAAGGAGCTTTTATTGGTTTGAAATATAAGTACTTAAGTATATCCTTTATATTTGTCATCAAAACTCACTGACTTGTCAAAGAATGTAACTTACATTAATTATTGAACAATCAATATAAGAATTAATTTCAAAGTATTGAAAAGTGATAAGAATGATAGCAAAATGATGTTCATTGTAACCAGTTAAATTAACATGGTTCTTCAGTGTACACAGCATGTTGTGGGCCACATGTTGAACCATGGTCACTGTTTGCCAGCTGTGAAACTGTGTTTGATCACAGCATATCCAGATATGCATTCAAAAGCAGTGGAGGAACTGATTTCCAACCCACAGGTATTTCACTTCCTGCTTTATATATCAGTGTATTATATTGTATATAATTTTGTAAGAAGCATTGGACTTTTTTTCTTTTTATGTATTTTTTCAATCTTTCTTTTTTGTCACTCATTATCCATAAGTTGGCTGCATTTATTGTTTAAATTCATTTTGTCAAGACCATGTGTCTTTATTTTCTGATTATTATTTTTTGTTTGTCATGGAGTCTTATTATTTACTTGCAGTTCTAATATAATAATTATTTAATATTCTCCAGGTATTTGAAGATGAAGAACTTCTTAATCTTCTCCTCAAGCATAATCTTACATCAAAAATAGTAAGTACCCCATATTATTCCCTGGTGATAACCTACCTTCTGTCCAATCAGAACACGGAGAGTACATCACCTGATGGCATGGATGTTAAATCAGTTGCTAGGCAACTCCAGGAGGCTGGTCACATGGCAGAGGCTGGATCTCTGCTGCTAAAGTACAGAGGTACGCACTCTGCTTTGAGGACTTTTGAGGCTGCTGTAGGGATAGTGAAACAATGGTTCAACAACTAATTTTTTCGCCTTTTTGACTGACAAAACTTGAAGATATAAGTAATGTCAATCCTTATTCAAAGAGAAGAATTGAAATTATCTGCTGTTAAAGCTTATAAATTCAAGCAATTGAATGTGTTGACGACAATTTCATATGTCACATACTTTTAAGAAACTGGTCAACAGAATAAACCTAAAATATAACTTTCATGTTAAATCCAATGTGTGCTTCAGGAAAATTTATTTTGACCATTTCCAATTTTTGCTGAACAATTTGAATTCCGTTAATCATGGATAATGAAAATGAATAATAAATGGTGTGGTGAAAAGTGAATTTTTGTTTTTTGCCTCTCTTTCTGGCTGCAAACAGAAACTCCCCATCCTGAGAGTTCAGAAAGGCTGGCTGGTATTGGTAATCTTGATTAGTTGGAAGCAGCTGGGCCATTTTGGTATTTTCTATGGTTTATGATTTTTTTTCTGCATATACAAAGGATCAGGTGCATGATACAGTTGTGACATTCACAGTCTCTGAAACCAAAATGTTATTGATTCTAGTCAGCCCTATGCAATATAAAGTAGGCAGTTGCTTACTGCATTTTCATATGTAAGCAAACTTACTGGATGCTCCATAAGGGCAGTTGTGTTAAGTCAGGCTCCTATTGCTTTTAACCTCTATTGTCCTCCTCTAACACATTCTCTATGGCATTATCATCGTGTCTACTGATAGTTTATATGTAAATAATCGTGAAAATTAAGAGAATTTGTGTAGAATTAATAGATTTTGGGGAGTTTAAATAAGCATTTTTCTTTAAAACAATTTGCACACAATTGGCCTTGATATCAGAATTAAATCCTTCCTAAGATCTTTTCATCTAGTGATGAAATTAAAATTAAACATTTATACCTGTGTGAAAAAGGTGTTATCTTCAGAGGCAGCAAATTTTGTTAATGTTTTCTTTATATATACTTTTCAAAATTATTATTTGACATTAAATGATGTGAAACAATTTCCTTTTCATTTCTTGCACTGAGAAACCTTACTCTCTGCCAATACAGATTTGGAACTATTCCAGGATTGGTAATTATTGGTTTGGTTATTACTGGTTGATCATTATCATGGACCAAAAAGAGTGATGTGAATCGACTTACTTTTTTTTTTAATTTATCAATTTAATTTTGATAATGGTGGCTAAATCGGGTTAAAATGCCCTTTAAATATACCCTTGGGTTAATATTCCCATCCAACAATAGCAACCTCCCAGTCCTTTCAAAACATACTCTGTTCAGTGATAGCCCTCTGTTTTACGGAAAACAAAGTCCAGACAAGGTACTGATTTCAACTTCTGGATTGGAACTTTTTTAATTAGAAGGATTTTTTTTTACTTTATTTCTAACTGTCAGCCTGAAAGGCTGGGTTTGCCTTTGTAGACCTTCCCATCAAAAGTACTGATCAGGTCTACTTCGATATTATTACAGTTTCACTCACATTACATCTGCATTGATTATGTTAGATCAAAGATAATTATTCTCAAGGACTTTCAAATTGATTGCCAACATGGAATAGGCAGGAACCTCAGCTTTGTTTACCAGACATGTAGCAGAATCTAAGTGCTATGCTCTTTTTTGATTAGCATTTGCATTATTGGTTTTATTGGATTTCCATAATAGAGACAAGTGTAATTTCATAGAATAAGTTAAATTATATTGATATTTTCACAATCAGGCCAATAAAACTGTCAATTTATGTACATTTACATGTCTTTAGATGAAAGGTCTTGGCTAATTTGAAAGTTGAGCATGCTGATTCACTCCTGCTGCCGAGGCTGCTGTTGTAATTGATTTTACCCACAAAAGAGCATGCAGTGGATTCATTTTTGAATATATCAAATAGTACAAGGTCAATTTCCAATTTTAGACCCAAACCCAATTATTCCACATCACAAGAATGCTCTTTTTAATCTATTACTTTGCAATCTCTACCTTAACACTGGTATATTGTACTTGAAGTAGCCTGGTATTGTGGATCAAATATCAATTTTACAAATCCCTCTCAAAATACAGCCCTTTTGTTCATCACATCTTTTATCTCATATCCTTTCTTGTTAGTTTGTTTCATTCTTTCATTTTTGTGTGTCTTTTCCCAAGCCAACAATTTTTTTTTCTCAAAAATCAAAAACAAAGTTAGGTTATTCTCTGTTTAACTATAGGTATTCCAGCTATGTTCCTGTATAGAAAAACACATCTTTGTATCCAGAGATTTATGACCTGTCTGCCTGTGATCAGGGCCCCTTGTCATTTGCGGGATAAAGCTGATCAAAGTTGTCAGGTGAAAAACACTGGTTGATAGTTACATGGTGTACATGTCATTTCATTTACAGGAACAATGGCGCTGTGGACACAGGGTTGGGGGACAATGAGGGTGGGGCATGATAGGATCAGGCAGATGGACTCGGGTTTCCAGGTGTAGAAATATATCTGGTGGTGAAATAGGAGGGCTGGAAAAACTGATCTCATAATAACAGAGGCTTATTGTCTAAGTAGTGGAAAAAACGAAAGAGATAAAATGCTTAGATCTGTTTCTTGATGTGGTAATGAAATACGTTTGTTAATTTTAGGGTGCGCTTGTATGGAAACTGAGAATGATTGAAAATTGTCTGCAGATGGTTTTCATTAAAATCCTCAAAAACAAGAGACATTATGTGCTTTTTACTTTTTATAAAATAGATTTTAGTTTTCAATGTTTCTACAATTTTATCTTATAAAAGTATTCTAAATTTGTATGCACTCTCTCTCTCTCCGTCCCTCTGAATTATACAATGGTCACACTTAACACAGAAAAATGGTGTGAATATATGTCCAATGTATACATTTTTATTTGCTATAACAATAAACACACAAGGCCCATTTTCTCTCTTTGAGTTAAATAAAATCCATTATCTTTTATCAGCAGACTTCCTGGCACAATCAACAGTGCAATCAAACCTAAATATTTCATTTTCAAAGTCTAAATTTATTGTAGGCTATTACCTGGCTGTGGCGCTATGCGTATCCACCATGCACAAAGTTATAAATAAATGGAAATACCTGATAAAACTTTGATTTGACAGGCCATTGTGTTGTGATGTAATGGAACATGACCTCGGCATCTAAAGCTAAAACCCATTCAAGAGCAGAATATAACACTATAAAGCAGCTCTATATTACACTGAAATAACAGTAACAATAAGAGCAACTTTGACAAGAGTAGATGCAGGTTGTATTGCATAATCACACGAAAATGCATAGTTTTGACTAAATTCTTATAGATGAAAGGTAGAAAATATGATACCTGGCAAACTTTTGATTGGCGTTCCCTTTAATGACAGTGTACGCATGATTAACCCTGCAAACCTGTAATTTTGACTTGACTAGGCTATACAGTTCACCCACTAGAATGTCAAATGTTTCACTGTGATTATAGAGGGTGAAAAGATGTTACAATATAATGTTGCAGTTAACATTTGAATGCAAAATTCATGTAGGTTTATAAGTTGTTGTTTATGATTCTGGTGCATCCAGATGCATCGTTTAATCTGCCAGTTACAGTTTCTTGTACCATCCTAAATTTCATTTACTTCCTTACTGTTATTAATTTAAATTAATATTTCTTATAAATAAAGGGTACATAGACATATTTAAATGATGCAGGAAAAGTGCACCAAATTTGTGTGTTAAACTGTCCCCGGTTTAATTTATATCTTCCCTGGATAGGTTGTAAATTGTGAGTTTTATGAGTCTAGCTGAAATAAATGGACTGCTGATATAAAAGGAGCTGGCAATGTAAATTCTTTTACCTTCTCCTCCCTTCAGTGATTTTTATCAAACAGAAGGGTTTTTCGTGTGTTTGCCCAGTTTTTCTCGATGCAGTACCAGTATGCTGCACATACTGTCACAAAGTATGTAGCATCAAGGACAAGTTGACAAGTGATTTATTTCAAACATTTTTTCGAGGAGAAGATATGTACTCTTAAAGTCTAGTGAAAAAGTTACTTACTGCATTTTTTTCCTTATGACAGGCCACATTGTAAAAGGATGTTTTTCCTGCTTGTTAATTATACCAAGGAAAAATTAATCACTCAAGTTCAGAGTGAGGAAGTTACTTGATGAAAAATTGTTTTGAGTGACAGGCCAGGTTGTCTTTGGAAAAATTTTCCAGGCTGTTGATTGGTTGGAGATCTCCCTAAGGGGGCTGTAACTGCCTTAATTAGCAAGCAACCCTGAGAGCATAAGTGGCAGGCAGGGGGCTGTCAGTCAAACTCTCTCAACACCAAGGAGAAAGAACAATTTCTCGCATTTCAAAACCAAGCAGACATTCAGACAACAAGCTCAGTCTCTTCAAGACACCAGAGAGTGTGGAGCACACACTGATGAACACTGCCTCCATAGTCCAGCAGGGTACAACTCAAACAGCCTCTCTCCAGTGGAGACTGGTTATAAATAGCACATGGGGCAAGCTGAAGAGTTGAATTTGATGTGTGTTGTTGTTAGTGGTTAACAAGTGGAGCGGCCTGCTGCTTGTTCTCTCAGGTTTACAGGAGAATTCCTTATTACTGACTGGCTTACAGATCAGTGTGTATGGGGATGGGGAACTATATCGCCGGCATGCGCATTGGAGAAAGCCTATTCTTATAAGGCTCACTGGCTTGTGTATTGGAGAAAGGCCCCTTTTTAAGGCTCACTGGCTTGTGAAGCCGAGCATAATGGATTTGTTGATAATAAGCAAAACTTTGGCAGTTGAGGCCACTGTATAGAAATTCCGTAGTGTTACAAGATGGATGGATTACACGATCTTTACATAGTACAATCATGCCAGGGTACAGGGGGCTGCCAGTAGAGCAGGTAACTAGTTCACTAGAGCAAGTGCCACTAACTATTTGTAGCAATTTTAACTTGACCTTGCCTGAACTGATAATATCCAGAGACATCAACCACCAAAACTTTGAAATTTCACTGAGGGGAAAACTGACTTACACTTGAGGCTATATAACTCGAGTACTGTGTACCAACCTGGCTGACATATATAAGTATGTGAATGAACCACAAGGAAAGATGTTTTGTCGTATAGTATGAAAGTTAAATGTGAAAGTACTGTGCATTGGCTAATATAAACTTGCATAGACATCGTTGAATTTCGTGAACCCAGAGGACCCTGGTGAGAACCTCCAGCCGTGCTCAGGATCATAACAGCTATGATTCATGTTTGTAGTGTAGTTTTGTTGTGCTTGATGATGGTCCCGATATGCACCTCAGAGCTCTGCAACGTAGCCAAGAGTAACTGCCTGAACCGTCTGGGTTGCCAGGCGGCCCTGACCAACTACCACATATCC